TCAAAATAAAGTGGAAGCTTCGTAGTATTCGTCGTTAAAATCTTTACTACACGTTACGATACACTGACATAAGACGCCTGGTGAAAACCGACAACGATCGTAATTTTATCGTTAGCCAAAAATAATGTCGTCCGGTGAGAGGCTTCGCTGCAAGACAATTCTATCGATCGTAAATTAATACACATATTTAACACTCTCTCTCTCTCTCTCTCTCTCTCTCTCTCTCTAGGAGTTAACGTTTCTTCTATGTATAATGTAATACTCGTTACACGGTGAAAGTAATTCCAAGGAAATATTTCGTAAGGAGTCGCCGAATTTGGAAATTCGGGGAAGCTAATTCCTACGTCTGCCGTAACCTGGGCGAAACTGCGTTCCGTTTCAATTGCCGACAGTATTTCTCGCGGATTCACAGCACGCTCGCGACCCTTACCCTATCTTTGGAAGATACTGCGCCGCAACAACGCGATAATAAAATATAAACGAACATCGTATATAAAGCTTTCAAACATTTCTTAATATCGTACAACATCAACAACCGTTTTCAAAACTCCGCAAATAGTACGTGCCAGTCGCGTGTAGCCTACAAGGGGGTTAAATCTAAAATAAAACGCTCGAACGTGTTAGGCCCGTGTTCAAATACCAATTCCTTGCACTACGAGTAGTTTTATTGCTTACGTGCCAAACGTCCGTTTATGCGTGCCGGCGCATCGCTAACCGCGATCGAATTTCACGTTCCATGCTTATTGTACACAGTATCCGATAATTCCGTTAGTGCCGTTTTCCTAGCGTCTCTGCCGGGGCTGGCGAAGATACGAGCAACTCGGTGCAGTTTAGTCAATTAAGATCTCGAAAATGAAACCGGAAATTTCGGTCGGGTCAAGGTTGGAGTAACGTGTATATCGGAATTAGTACCTCGACCTTCGAGTTTGTAAATCGCACGATACGCTTGTCCTGACGGAAAAATTCGCATAAATGTACATCGCCGACAAACGAGGTCTTCCCAAAATCGATTATCGAGTTTTAATAGTAAATCAAGCAACGGTTGTGCACACAATTTGTACTGCGAACGGTGTAGCATTTTGCACAGTGATACAAAAATGTAAAAGATTGTAGGTCGAACAAAGATTGCGCAATTTTAAGCGAACCATTCGATGGGTCAATGAATATGTGACAACGATTTTCATTATCGAGTCTGAATTATCTGCGTGAACATCAATTTTCGTAGGCCACATTTATCAAGCGAGCATTATACAAACATAAACTGTATCGATGGCAAGTTCTGTACAGGCGGAAAGAAACGATGTCTGAAAAGATGCTCGTAAAACCTTCCGTTTTCTGGATAAATAACGCGTTTACATACTCGAGAATAATGATAAAATCTAGAACGGAGGAAAAAAAAATTGGGTTACACCTTATTCGATACGCGTAACAGTATTATAAAATTCGGTAGAAAGTGTACGCAGCTATTTTTATCATTTTCATTTTTGATTAGATCTCGAACAACAGCATTCTTATCGAGGCACAAATTTTTATTTGCAGTTCAATGCATCCGATACGAAGAGAAAAAAAATGCTCGGAGAAACCGTTTGTTGTGTGCTTTCGTATTCTATAAAAAATAAAATGTCAAGTACCTCCGTGAATTAAATTACCTGTAGACTTGTCCACTGAGAAATGTACGCGCAAGTAATGAAAAAACGATTCGGACGATTTTTCTACTTTAGATCGATGCGTCGTCTTTTGATCGCAATGCATACGGAACGTTAGTTCGAAGTGTTTTCTTTATGTCGGTATCGGTCATTGTCTCCAGTTTGGCATATCTCTTATCCGAATAAACGAAACCCCGATCCATCGCACGCTTCTCGACACCATTCAACAAAATACATTTTTGTTACACGGAAAACTAAACGGATGTATAAATTCGAAAAAAGAAATCTAATTTTTTTTGTACTTTCAGAAACATGAGAAAAGTGTGTTGGAACTTGTTATTTGGAACGTTATCTCGCTACTAGCTTGCAACGCGATGCCAATGAACAAGGCTTCGCCACCTTATCAATTTCAACTTTCACTGGTACTCCCATACTTTTTAAACATTCTTTATACACGGTGCCCTGTGACTATGGAGATTGGGAAACCTGAATAAAAACGGTAGCTAAAAGCTACGGTAACGTTCGAGGAAAATGTTGTCGTTTTACGAGTTTACGGATCTCCTAAGGCGGTTTTCAATTAGTCTCCAACTACTAAAGTAGAAAAATCTGTTAACTCGAAAAAGGGGGGATACGAGTAATATCTTGCAAATACGTTCTCGTTCCTCTCGGTGCTATTTGTTGCAAGAACGTGTGTTCCCTTAGGTTAAACCAGCGAAGCTATCAACTAAACTATTTTTCCTTTTAATAATCCGTTGTACACGCATCGCGAGCCGCGTCGCGATGGAAAAAATAGACCTCTCCTAGCGTTGCAAACCGCTATCGTAGTATCTAAGATCCGCGTAGTCGACTATCTACTCGCCTCTGCTTTCACCCATCTTATATTTCTCTAGTTGCGACATGTTTCGCAACGATATACCGGTGTGTCATTTAATGATAAGAGGAACGAGGCCGGCGTTCTGGTTCACTCGGCGATCGTCGCTTAATTTCGTCGCGTGACGACATTGGTTTACCCTTGTCATGATTCTGCTCGCACCGTTTAACGCAGAGATTGCTACCCGTCGCGTGGAAAGACCGTCGAGCGACAAAAGATCGTACGCAATATACCGTGTGTATACCTACTTTAACGTACCGCAAAGGATTCTTTCCTTTCGATGCATATTTAATTAAAAATATAGCGCGCGGAAATCAAAGTTATACCAGCGTCCCAATATTTTTGCGATCGAGAAGGTACCTTTTTCCAATGGTTTTCGAACGACTGCGCGATGTTTGGGACATTTTTGCATGCAAACTTCCTCGTGGACCAAAAATTGGCTACTTTTGTCGAGCTTAAATTCTACTCGGTATAAAAAAATGAAATAGGCATGGTGTAAAGTAGATTAAGCGAAAGAAACATGTTTGAAAGCCGTTACACAATTGCCTGAATTTGAATAGGAGTAATCGATCCGATGGAAACCGAATCTCGCCAATCGTTTAGCATTCTTGCTAACCATTTTCTACGATAGAACGATCGCAATTTGCTAACCACCGGCCTCGCGTCTTAAAATCCGTTAAAAATACTACACTCTTACGGTAATTACAATCTATTTAGGAATAAAGGAGCATTTACGCTGATCATGTTTGACTTAGGAAACTGCTGTTCTTGGTAATTAAGCCGGCGCTGCTCTCGGACATCGGTATCACCGGGGACTTCTCGCCCTTCGGTAGCTTCGGATGCAGTTTTATGTTTGGTTTCAAGCCTTTCAGGAGATTCTGAAAACGATCCGGGAAACAATTCTTCAGAATGCAAATCGTTCGTTCGCGTCGACTCGAATTCACAAAATATCGTAGAATACAGCGAAATCGAATCTGGCAATTTAGACGACTCGTGTACATCCTACGTTGTTTCGTTAATTGGTACTTCTATAAATCAGAAGATGTATCGCAACGATAAATATTAATTTTTCCGACGCATCTATTTTTATAATACAATCTTTCACCGCGTCTAAGATACGTTGCATCCTGGATAAACGATTTTACCTCTTTAATGGACCCTGGAGACGCGATAACGTAATAGAGAGCGTACCCTGGTATCCAAATCATCGATGAAAAACTGAGACACACGCCTACCACTTCCGCCCACGTTGGATACTCATAATCGTTCCCGTATTTCAAAGGTTTGTATTGAACGCATTGAAATACGAAGATAAACTGTAACATACAAGTGAAATGGAAGAAGAAGCGATGTTATTTAATAACCTCGAAAGTAATATTCGAGATTTCGTGATCGACGAATACTCACGGCCATGATCACGGGCGCCAATACCACCCAGCATATGTACCAAAATTGGTTCATCCTAATGCCCATCATCTGGTGAATGCAGTCGCAAAATTTCTTCGCTCCGAAGATCCACGAGATCGCGATCGTTTGGAAGAAACAGACCCAGAGAATCGACATGCCGCTCGCCGAGTAGAAATCCATTAGTTGAAATATGTAAACTCCTCCCTGGAACGAGGACGATTAATGATTCCCGAAGAATCAACGCGATCGTTCGAGCGCTTACGTTGGTGACCATCGGGATCCCCATGGCGAACATAACGAAGCAAATGGCAACGGTGAACTTCTTTCTGTGGGGTCGCAGGGAATCGGGCCAATTGTCGACGACGCCGGTGATGAACGACTCCACGATGCAGAACTCGCTGTCGATTCCAAGTATCTGTTGAAAATAGAGCGACGATCGTTTAACGCGCCAGGGCAACGCTCGACGAACCATTCTTCCAAACCATAGGCACTCTCGAGCGATAGGATTGAACCGTGTAATCGATTGTTTTTCAACGTTCTCGGGGAACGATCGAGGATAACTCTGAACAACGTTTCGTTAGCGGACGACGAGATAGAAGATAGACGAAATGTCGCCGATTGCCGAGATTACTTCGTGGACGAAGCGCACGTGTGATATCCGATCGATACACATAAACGGACATTGGTCGCAGAAGAGAACGGGGCTGTACACTGTACACTCCTCCCCGTTCAAGTGTTGATTATTCCTTACGAGTAGCATGACGAAGAAGATTATGGCCCACATAGTAGCACCGGGAAGCTTCAGCACGACCTCCGGATACGTGAGGAAGACAAGACCCGGCCCGCTTTTCACCACTTCGGACACTTCGGTACCCTGTTCCGACGCGATGTGACCCAATATGGAGAACGTCACGCAACCAGCCAGAAGACAAGTCAAGGTGTTCACAATACAAGTGATAAGCGCATCTCTGGAAGACAAAACTCACGCTTTCAAAGACTTCGTTGGCCAACGGCGTGATCTAAAAACAACTTTTCGGGTTGCGCGTCCGAGAAATCCTCGGCAATTAAATATTAATAAATGATAACGCTAACTAATCTACGCGTACGGTCCTACTACACGCTGTTAACCCTCGGAGTCACGAGATTCGCCACCTTTTGCGATCGCTTATTACGAACATTCGTTTCGGAACGATATACAGGGTTAAATTAGAAGATATCGACTTCGCGTTTTTGTTTCTTTCAATCGAGCGGTGCTATAGAGGGATGTTCGTTTTGGAATACGACAAACGTTTTTTGTCACGTGTAACGCGAGCAACGCAGTTACTCTGCACGTATTTTCCTTTCGTTTTGGGGTCAAGGTCAATTGTGAGAGTCACCGTGATAGATCACTGAAAAGAATGTCGGTTAAACGTCTTAACAAATTTAAGGTTCCGGAAATCGAAACCAATACTCGTCGGACCAGAATTCAACGGAAACATTTTTGGACAAATCAAACGGGTTGTTTCGAGTGATCATTCTTACTAACTCACCCTGTATGCATTAGATCGGTCTACAAGTTCGCGCGGTTTTAATTTCGATTTGAACTTCCCATATAATAAATAATTTTGCTGTACCGCCCAATTTAAAAAATATGCTTCTAACGCTGCCGATGCTGCCCTCACCATCTTCTTGGTTCCTTCTAAAATGATTTAAACGGAGCTTCATTTCATAATGGGAACTGTGAAAATGGCTAAACGATTGGTTCGCGTTTCAAGCAGGGAATCCAAAAACTACGAAACTCTTGTAAAATACATGGTAAATTAATTTAACAAGAATATACATTTTTCACATTAGGTAAAACCACGCGAATTTATGGACCGACCCGATACTTCAAAATAAGGTACTCGTTCGGAGAAAAAGTCTTGAAAATCATTATTTTTCAGATCGTTAACTAGACATAACACCAAACCCTTTTAACACGGCGTTGCGTTTCTCGTACGAGCGATCGTTTCATTCGTATTATTTTGCACTCGTATCGAATAAATATATCAAAGTTCGTTACGTTATTTAGAAACATCGATCTATCGAACAGCGATATAAATATTCGACGATAATACTCTTGAATTGCAATAAAATCGACGATGATCTCGCATTCCTCGAAAAGCGTTCCATAATAGGTGCTTTTACCTTAGCGTTGCAACGTTTATGGAACTATCGATCAGCGTCGCTGGTTGGGACACGAGTGCGCGCAGCCGTGTCGAAAGGGTTGAGATGCGAAGGTGAAGAAAAATCAAACGAGAATTAACGAGCGAGGTGTAGCCGGAAGGAGTGAGATCTATGCGAGAATCTGTAGCAGCTTACTTATAGCAATTATGGTGGAACTTATTGTACGATCCCAAAGCTGGCAGAGCTCCGGTACCGATACTGTACGCGAAGAATATTTGCGTGGCACCGTCGATCCATGGACCGGGTGCGAGCAACTCCTTCCATCTCGGCGTGACGTAGTATAGTAATCCGTCTTTGGCGCCGTCCAACGTCACCGCTCTTCCCAAAAGAATGAAAAGCACCACGTACGGGAACAAGGCTGAAAACCAGATGATCTTACCGCTCTGATGTAGGCCACGCCTGATGATAAAGTAAACGAGCAGCCAGCCGAGAATCAGACAACCCAACAGCTCCCATTGTATCCCACCGATGGTTTCGATACCGGAGGTGATCCCAAGAACTCGTCGTCTAAAATTTCGAAGTTATCACGAATTATCGAGAACTGCATCACTTGGTTCGACGATCGTTTAACGTTCGCGTCCGGCTCTCGAGCGAACCACCGTGCGGCGCGCCGCGGCGTTCCGTTCGGCCGCCGCATTTCTTTTCAACTTTTTCTCGACATTCTGAGCCACGATTTTTCGCCACGAGTTTCAGGAATCACGTTTCATCGCGCGCACACTGTTTATAATATATTATATAATAATAGAGCTTATAATATCCTGTCTTTGTCTTGGTATTTAATTAGATAGAGTCTTTGTTCTTGTCTTGTATTTTTATAAAATCCTAATTATGTCTACGTGTTAGATTATATTTACCTAGGAACGTAACGACAACTGTTTGCATTACCCTAATCGGTTTTAGAAAAGTAAATTAATTGCTGCACCGTCGCGGCATTTACGTTAGCGAGCGTATATCTTCTAAAATCGATTAATTCGATTGTGGGCTAATGAGATCGTGGCAATGCTTACGTTTACGAAACTTTTACTTACTCCCAATATTCCTCGACCGGTGTGGTGTGATGCAAAGTGGTATTGATCGTTGAATTCGTATTGTTCGAACTGATATTCGCATTATACAAATGGTCGATTACGTTGGAAGCATCGTAACAATCCTTGGTGTTCCACCAATTGTCTGGAAAATCATGGGACCGTTATAACAATCGTTTAGAAAATACTATCGACATACTCCCGACAATGCTTAATTTGTGTTTCAAATTTTCTGCGCGTTTATTAATCTTCTATTCATGATGCGTTCATCATCGGCTACTAACCACAGCCATTCCAAGGTACTCCAGGTATATTCACGATGGTGCTTATAAAGTAGAAAAGCGTCCAAGCGATTATGATACAGTAGTACACGTCCAGGAAGAATACAATCGTCATTGTGGCGTATCCAACACCTGCGAAACGTCGTATTTTCGAATAAATGTCTCTTTAACGTGCTAGTAAATCGATTAAAAATAAATAGGTGTTACGAAAAAGCAAATTAATATACGGTTAACCGTTGCATTTCTATAGGTTCGTTTGTTTCTGTCGAATTAATAAGCATTTGGGTTTGATTTCATAATCGGCATAGATCAGAATTTGCGAAATTGTCTACATCGAGACAAAGTACCTTGCAACAAAGGACACAGCTGTCCCACAAGGGTCATCCCTCCAGCGCCAAGGTACTGGCCAATGGCAACCTCTTGGAAGAAAATGGGAATCCCACAAAACACCATGGCGATGCCGTACGTGATAAGAAACGCTCCTGTAAACAAAGTTTCATATGCATAGCAATCCACCGACGAAGTGGCAGAGATGCATCGATCGATGTGCGAGCACTGATCGGGTAAGCACATCGACCGAACTGTTTCAATTAATCGACGCAAAAGATAACTTTTTTAAATCGAATATTTCATTCTGCAATTTCTCGTCGGATCAACCGACGCGCTTGAAAAAGCTGCGCGCAAAAGTTAAGGTTAAATAAATCACGCGATATAACCCTGTGTAAATCACGTAAACGAACGACGTTGATGAATGTGGGAGCATCGATAAAACTTACCGCCACCGTTTTTGTAGCACAGATACGGGAACCGCCAAACATTGCCGAGACCCACGGACACGCTGATACACGAGAAAAGGAAATCGAGCTTGTTGTCCCAGCCACCTCGTTCCGTATCCTCTTCCCGGCTTCTGAATTCCGTCACTTTGCCCTGCGGCGACGAAACTGTCATCTTAGGAACTGCCCTCGACGAGTCTTTCCCCTTCTCCGACGCGGACTTGACTTTGAACTCTATGAACGTCTGGTCCGAATCGACTTGATCTCTCTCCTCTCCCCAATAGTACATTTTCTCGGCCATTCTTTCTGAAATCACGACGCGCAACGATTCACCATTTGACCTTACACGCTGCTCCGGCTAGCATCGCGTTCGACTCGCCTCGACGCAAGAGGCATCTCGCTTAATTTTTTATTCGACTGCGGATCTTATGCCCGAAACGAATAGACGAGTCAAGGCGATTTTAGAAATGCTTTTCTATGCGTACAGTGACTGGCTCCGATATTAAGATACCATTTAAGACGGAGTAACTATTTCAAAAATGGACGAAATCTTGTACTTATTAAATACCAAATAATAATAATAATAAATAATAATAATAATAATAATAATAACAATAATAATAAATAATAATAAATACCAGATTATTAATTAAATACCAGAGAGACTAGTGAATTAGCAACGTTTACGCAAATCTTTTTAATAATAACAATTGGTCGAAACGAAGAAGAAAATTTCAAGAACGCGTTACGTAGATCGCAAGCATCCAACGAAAATATTCTACGTAAGCGTGTCCCGAAGATTAAAATTGCTGCAAGCGGGAGCATTTCTGGCTCCTCGTTGCAATGCAAACGTGACCTTTGAAAATTGCTTCGGTGTCCTAACTCAGGATAATCGACTATAATCGCGGAGATTACGTAAAACTGTCCTGTATAAGCGACATTATCTCGATAAGCAGTAGACACGCGTTACTCTAAGAATATGTAATAATTTCAAGGTTCCATAACGTCCTTGTCGTTTGGTTTTTACTCGCAAAGGATAGCGGTGCCGATTACTGTGGGCTGACCAATTGTAGCGCCTTTCGCTTGTTTTCGGGCATAATTGACTTTATATTTATCGAATACCACACATATTACATCTTTTAATTAGAAAATAAACAAAATAAAGGGATGAAAACATTCGAAAATAAACCAAATAAAAGGATAACAAACCAAAGGCACGGTAATTGGTCGGTATTCGTATCAAAAACTAGAAAATGATTCACAAATTTATTACAGAATGCAGGGGCGCATCTGGAAGCATCCTTTCGATCGAAAGAAACGCATCGCTTCGATCGGACGATGAAACTCGGTGCACAGCCGCGTCGCACACGTGCACGAGTGTGGAAGCACTTTTTTAACGCGAGCTAGGGTCAAGTAATTTCGTTCGGCGAGGAGAAATTCTCGCGGCCAACGCGATCGTACAAGCTCAATGGTTTCTTTTAGGTCAAGTCGGACGAGGCGTCGACTTCTTCCGCGATAGTTTCTCGTCGGTGTGTTATTTATACGTGTGCACACGATCTCCGTGGATACACACGGAACCGGTCTCGTCTTCAATGAAAAGTTCCCCGCCATGCAAATTCGACCCTGTGTAACCCACGCGGACCGTTAACTCTTATTATCGTTGCGCCCGATTCGACGGGAAGGGAGCGGGGTGCACGTGCGTCGATGTTGCCCTCCAGTGTGCGCGCATCTCCGCATGCACCTGTCCATGTGTGCCCATTCTTCCGTACGATCCCGCGAGCGTGCGTGCACGCGCTCGCGAGCGCGCGTGCGTCGGTGGTTGTGTACAAACTTTCGTGTGCGCGCTACGGATGCTGAACGCAAAATCAATAACAAGGTTTCTGTCACGTTACGGCACACACGTGGGCGGCCACCGAATCGTGAAAATCCCCGAATTTCCGACACTTTGATCGACCAGCCAGATCAAAACGGTGAGAACAACGCGCCTGGCTAGCAAACGTTTGCAACGTTTTGCAACGGTTCGACGTATTCGCGAAAGAGATCGTAGAAATGGTCCAGAATGTTGCTCCAACGATGAGCTGGATGCATTTTAGAGCGACGAAATGATGCAACAGTCGGCGAACATAGTGCAAGAGATGTTCGAATTCCGTGCGGCATGCAGATTCGTGGTATCGAACCAAAAGGAACAGCGATCGAACCGAGATTTTTCATTGGAAAACTAGGTTCGGATGCTGAAAGCAACGCGCACACATCGCTTCGCGAATCTGGCCGATGTTTCACGTGGAAATGCGCATACTCGTGCTGTTACGCTGTTCCATGTGCCAGCACATCGAGAGATCGACAACAATTCAATCATATATCGTGTACATTGAAAATCTACAAGGAATATTTCAAGCAGTTTCGTGGTCCCAGAAATATCGGATAAAATGCAGAACTGTGCGGCTTTTATTCGTTCTCGTTTCTCTCACGTATTTTAACTATCGTCGAATTCTCGAATATCTAGTTTTTCAGTTATGTTCGCTCGTTATTCGGAGAACTTCGCGGACCTATCTTCGCGGACGTCGAAATAATCGTTTCGAAGCTCGATTTATCGTGTCGATTCTAGAATGGCCGGCAGAGTCCGGAGCAGAGCGAGAGTATGCCAGCGATACGGGACAAAGAGTATCGACGCGTACCTCGGTATGCAGTTCCCTCGGTTAGCCTCGATATCGACGTCGATCTATCGTTGGAGACCGACGGTTGGTCCGTGGCTGCGGTTCTCGTCGAATCGATGACACGGCCGCTGGATATTTACATCGTCCGGACGTTGCAACGTCGTGCCGGGGGATGACTCCCGCGGCAGAGAACGATCGGATCACGCCCGTTCCTCGAGAATCAACCGCCACCGGGTCTGTCCTCTCTCTTTCTGGGAAGTCGCGAATCTGGAAGAGCCCGTGTTGCGCAGGAACCGGAGAGAGGAAGCTCGCCGAGAAACGAGAAACCGAAGCGCGAAACGATTCGGTAGCGCTTTCGACTTCGACGAATGTTTATTGCGCGTCGGCTCGTAAGCGTGCCTCGCGTCGACCTACCCCACAAGGGATGCGGTTACAGAATAATGTTCGCTTTCAAGATGGGGAGTGTTACCCCTTTCGGACGCATGCGCGCGGAAGAAGCGCACCCCTTCCAGCCGCGCGCGCGAGCGAAACCGTCGTCCTAGGGTCGGCGAGTCCTGAAAACTCATCTTCCTGGTAAATAATCGGAGGGGGGCCGGCGAGGCCGTCGAGCAACGACGACCCTGCACGGCGTCGTTTAGCGGCGCCGAGGCTAGATATCAATCGGCGAGCCCTTGAAAAAACGATTCGCGGTTCCGTCGTTCGCGATCGACGGCGGAGAGAATCGGCGAGATCGCGGAGTATGATTTATCGCCGAGAGATCGTTTAACCGTTTCCACTTGGGTAAACGCACAGCCTGGAAACATTCTACGGAGCTTCCTCGATTTGCGGACGAACGGTCGATTCGTTTCGAACCCGGAGAAAACTAGGACATTCGATCTAGTAGGTAACGCGCGCGGTTGCGTCAACTTGAGCAACGCTTCGCGTAAAAAGCAAGTCTACGTTCTCCGAAAACGTTTCGACGTACGGTGATCGATGCTCAGCTTGTACACGAAGATGATGGAGAATTTGGGAAGAGGAGATACGATTGTTCGAGCCGCAAGGTTATTTGTCGCGGCACCTCCGCCTCCCGGATTGTCCATTTTTGTGTCCAAGCCGAGCGTCGATCGGGGATAATTCACTGTATCGAGCACAAAAAAAGCTAGCACGCGACGAAGAGCATCGGTCCGAGAAGTTCAAGGCTGTCCTTCGCGGGTCTTTTTAGCGCAACCACGATCGATCGACTAAATGTCACCGCGATCTATTCCCTGGTAAGTTGTCCAGCTGCTTCCATTCGCGAGACCTGTATCTCCCCTCCGCTGGCTTTCAGCGTGTGCATACTTGTAAACGTTGAAATAGGTCTGAAATAGGATCGTAGGCGTGGAAAAGTACGCGAAACGAAGTTGCAATCTGTGCGGAGATAGTCCGCGGACGCTTCTTCCAGCCGAACGATTCGCGATTCACTCTCGCCGGCAACGCGACACGCGATACCGCCATAAAGATCGCCTCGCGTGTACGTACGCATGTTTCTCTATTCGCTTATTAGTCCCGTGGACTACATAGACGTGTCCGTGGCGCGATAAGTCTGTTTACATTTATGCGTGTTTCGTGTATCAGGGAGAGAGGAGGAGCCGGAAAAGCGGTCGAAATTCCCGGGCCGCGTTCGGAGACTCGATTAATCCTTTTAGCAGCAAGCTGGCCGATATATCGGTTCTCGATACTCGCGCGGAACAATGGTCCGAGTCGACGTATCGACGACACGCCTCGCGAGTACCGGGCGGATCGGTCCTGGCACCGAAAGAGTCGACCGTCGAGTCGCGGGCGCTCCGACGTGACCCCGTTCCGTTGCGACACCGTCGAACGACGTCCCTTCGTCAACATCCGCTCGATTTGTCGCTGGAGTTGCACGGCACGACCGTGTGACAGCCCCGTTTGTGTCGCAGTTGCTTCGTCGTCGATTTGTCGGGCTCCTCGATGTCGTTCACGACGGCGATCGTGTGCATCGAGAGGTTCCTCTGCGAGTCCTTGTAACCGGAGAAACACGGCTTCGGCGTCCAGTTCGTCCCATAGGAGACCGGATGGATCTCCCTTCGGCCCTGATCGATCGCGTCGCTGGAGATCTCGGACCGACACTCGTCGCAAAGCGAGCTCGCCTCGCTCCCGTCCAAAGGCGCGACGGTCTTCGTCGAAGACGCTTCCTGGGACCACTGTTGCAACAGAGACGTCAGCATCCTGCGCGACAGAAGACGAACACCGAATTACGCTGCTGTCTGTTGGCACGCCGCGGCGCGTAACTTTAGCCCGTCCAAATACCCTGGCGGCTTTCGGTTTTCGATCGGATCGCATCGGTATCGGACGTACGATTTTTCAAAGAACGAACGAGCAGGCTGCGGTTTCATCGGCGAATCAGAATTTTCGTGGGTTATTTTATAGAAGCAGAATTTTATAGATCAGCTAGGAAATTTCTTGCGGTAGCGAATACGGTAAATTCTCCCTAATTTTCCTTCGGATTGCAGACGCAAAAATGGACAATCTGGGAAGAGGAGCCGCGAACGATCGTACCTTCTCTTCCCGAATTGTCCATTATTGTTTCCAAGCCGTGCGTCGATCGAGGAGAATTTAATGTATGCGTGCTTCTTCGAGTTACAAACGTCTATAAATTTTAGATAAGCACAAAGATTCGCAGTCCAGCGATAAGGAACTAATTTGTGCAAAGCCTTATCGACGTCTGCTACAAATGTAGCGCGATAGAAAGTGCGACTTCTCGTTGCTCCGCGACGACGGTATCGTCGAGATCGCAAAATAGTTCGAACGAGTAAATGGAAAGTCACGAGATTCGATCCTGGATTACATAGTAACCTTTGCAGAGCATAAGTTGCATAGTATTTCAGTCTCGTTGAAACGGTCCTTAATCGAACCGCCGAATCCTTCGTAACGTTCCGCACCGGATTCGTAGAAATTGTGCAACCTAGCGTGGTTATCGCGATCGACATAGATACGATCCAGCTGATAAAACCAGCCGACACCACCGACGGCTTCAACGGTGACGGATAATACGAGGACCACACGCGTTCCCACCACTGATAGGACATGTTACGATCCTCGGACTCCTGTGGGAAATGAAATTTTTAACTAGTTAGACGATCGTTCGTATCGGAGATGGAACGTTTAAATTTAGATGGCACCTAATTAAGTACGAAATCCAAGCTCTCCAACTTTTTGGGGGGGGGGGGATGCGCGCAGAGGAGGGCGTATACTGTCCGTGCAACAAGATAATAATATCGCGAAATAGTAGTATATATTTATATAGTAGTATATAAATACTAGTATTAATTCGGAAAACTTTCGTTTATTCTAAGCCGCGTAAATCTTCTAATTTAAAAAGTGAATTTTTATCCAACGGTAGCATTTTTGTAATTACAAAAATTTATCGTTATTGCCATAATGTGCTTCGCTGTACGATTTTGTGAAAGCGAGAGAGCAGATTAGATTCGTGATCGTCGAAAGTAGCTTGAAAAAATGAAAATAAAAATATCGCGGTTCAGAAATTCGTGCCCAGCCGGACCAAATCAATCGACACGCTCGAACGCCAATTTGGTCCGAAGCTCGGCAGCGTTCGAGGCGAGACAAATTCGTCCGGTGCCACGATCCCGTCGTTTCCAGCGATTTCCGATCGCGTAATCGCGTTCGAGAATCGCGTGAAACCGACGCGACCGGGTTATGAAAAGCTCGTCAAACTTCTACTCACGTAACTCCAATAGTTCCAGATGCAGCAATACAGCAACCTCTGGAGGATCAGCCAGAGCCATAAGCCGGTGATTGCGACGACCCAGCAGACCGTGACCTTCGATCGGAAACGTGCCAGATGTTAAATAGAAGTAAAGATGTTGATCAAAAGTATCTTCGCCGACGAATTACATTAAAATCGCGCATTTTTGCGCAGCCAACGAATCGACGTTGGAGAATTAAAAATCGCGCAGAAAGAGAATGATCGTTAATGACCTTATAAACTATCGCGAACATTCGCACATATTGCAACGGGAAAGTAACAAAAAATTAGACGAACTATGAAAAAGGTAATAGAGATCGAGCTCGTCGAGGCGTCGCGATACGTCTTCGTCTTCTTCGGATACCGATCGATCTTCGAAATAGTTCGGGAGAAAATCTTCTAGTAAACAAAACGGAGATTGGAATCTATCAAGATCGCGAGTTTAACGATCGAACAATGTAAAAACGTGTTACACGTGTTCGATGTGTCTGATCGGTGCAGATACTAGTTATAAAGAGTTAGTGTTTTTATTCTGTCCAATTATTTCTTGCCGTAAACCCACTTTCTCCGCGCTCGGTGAAATGTTTTCGCAAACAAATAAAAATTGTCCGATTGGAAAAATTCCCGATCTCGGGCGATCAGGAACTTCGTGTGCACGTTGCACGTTCTTACTTGGCTACTCGGATTTCTCTAAAAACTGATCAATGTTCGACGAAGACGAAGGCGAGACTTTCTGCAACTTTCTCGATATATTTCGTTGAAATATTTATGTCATCGTTTGCTCCATTTTTCGGCTCGCGATGGAACTGTAATTGTCTATGTTACTTTGTTAAACGAGGAAGATCGAACGACGTTGACTTCCGTGCATGAAATCATCTAGAAACAAATCCGATTAATTCGATATCATTTTATCACAGGCCTCCGTTCGCAATTTTCGGCGAAAACACGTCGTCGACTATTTTTAGGTGTATATTGCATATTGTTTTCTCGTGCGATCGCTCTTATCCTCTACTTAATTTCACCTAACAGTGGCTCTACAGTGGGTGAAAACTGTTTGCCACGCGCGTTAATAAACTTTCCTTCGATTAGTTTAACCATGGTACCTGAAGAAATTTGTAAAGCGTCGTGCCCAATACTTGGGCCAGGCTGTTCAAGGATGGCGGATTTCTCCACAGAGCAATCGTCAAGGCCGCTATGATCAAGAAAGACGGCAGCGTGTGTATGAAGTCCGGGCCGACGGTGATTTTCGCGTACTCCTGAAAGACTTTGTGCTGCAAAAGAAGTATCTCATGCGGGACGGAGAGCAAGGTCACTGTTTGATTGTAGAGGGCGGTCAGACAGGACATCGCTGTCAAGGCCGAACGCCGCCCCAGCCCGATCCTAGGTAATTTATTCACGCCAGCATCGAGCGTTGCCGTAATTACGGTTATACGCGGTTGGAGGCAGTTGGAACGTGACGTTGCAGACGAAATGAACCGCGGTATCAACCGGGTTCCTTTGTTTCCGAAGGTTTCAGCGGGGAAAGTGGGGAAACAGCGTGGGGGCAACCGTGACACGTTCGCGACAGTAAAGGTTGAGCTGGAAGAATAGACGGGTGATTTGTTGTCGAGCTAATTGCGTTCTACAAATTATGATCGGTCGCGATGGATTCGAACAAACTGAATCTTACTAGAACGTTTGGAACGCAAGAAGAAAATTGTCAAGGGAAGGATTTCAGGAATATAAGAGCTCGTTGAAGTAGTTTATTTCAATCTGAACGTTGCTCCGCTCATCTTCGAGTTTCAAAAAATACGTTGGAACAACGATAAATGAAAAATTGAGAAGAATGATATGAATGTTCGTTTATTAAAGAAAAGCATGCAGTAATGAAATCTTTGCCAATGCGTATATACTTTCAGTCTCCATGTATCTATTTACAGTCATATATACAAACATTTCTTAAGTGGTAGTTAGCAGTCTATATGAGAAAATAATCCGGGCCGACGAATGATCCGCATCTTGGGAAGTCATCTGGTGCAGCTATTACATCGCTCGTCTCTCCAACCTTCAGAATTACGTCCAAACCGCGAGTCCAATCGGCGGCGTGCTCGTCTCGGAGCATCCAATAACCTGTTTAAAAATTGATAAGTATGTAGCAAGTATCGAAACGCGTGACAAGTAGGGGAAGGTACGTTTCTACGTTTTTCTAAAAAATGTGTCGAGGTGACGGTATGTTGTTGCTAATATTAGTTACTAACATTAGCTTGGAATATTCCACGATAATTATCTCTTTACAATAATTTACTATTTACAGTCCTAAACAATAGAACAGTCCACTGTACTAATTTAGAAAATAATTTGATTCGATTACGTAAATATATTATTGCTCGTAGCAACTTTATTTTTTTTTTTTAATGAAACGATGTACTTTTTAATACATCAAACGATTCAGCTCGATGCATCGTTTTATTTAAGAAAAACCAAGTCGACGCTACATGTAATAATAATTATGTAAATCGAAGTGGTAATACGCGATGGCGATCCATGCTGTACGAACAGAAAATAAACTTGTTAATATAACGTAAAAATATTTTTTAACGACGATAATCTCACCTGGATTGTCTGCCTTGAATCTAATAGCCACAGCACCGAATTTCGGTACGATAACCGTGTCCTTAGCTATCGCGTAGTCCAGATTTCGAGAGAATAATTGTCCTTTGTTATCCAGGTCTTTCAATTCTTGCAAACTCACGCTGCGTCCGAATTTTCGCGCGCCTACCACGTAGAACGTGTTCCCGTGCAAATGGTACACTAAATCGTCGAGACCACCTTGAAAAAGATACTATCATTGATAAAGAACGACTGAAAATTTTAATAAACAATTGTTAACTTGAGATCGTTAGATTAGATATACATTAAGCTTACGATATAAGTAAATGTTGTAAAGCAAAAAGAAAATAAGTACGTAACACGACGATTCTTTTCATTTTCCGGGTGATTTTGCAAATGTTTCTCGTTGTTTTTATTCCGAGGCGCAATTCTCCGAGATGAAATAAAGATCAATGTGTCCGTTGTACGAGTAGCTCGAATATAGATCAAGGTCCCTAACACAAGGTTGCACGCTACAAGCTCGCACTTTATCAGACTTTTTCGAATTGTTTTGTAACCGATGAGCGGACCGCGAAACTTTGTGCAAAATAGAAAGTTGCAAAAACCAGAAGACAGATAAGAATGTATTCCTTCTTCGAATAATTTCAACAAAGTGGAAATAATGCGATAATTTTCTTACATTAGTCTCGTATCTTCTCTTTCAACGTTAGCATTCCTTACGAAAACTTCTGTTAGTCGAACCGATTTCGCAAATAATCATAGGCTCTACTTGCCATCATGCTTAATGAGCTCTCTAAACCGAGGACTACTTAATTCTAAACTACATCGTAAAACACATCGGTGCTCCAGAAAATTACTCGATCAGGTAGTTGGAAAATTCTGTGAATCACGGTTGGATCTGCGTGCGGAATAGTCCTAGCATCATGATTCTCGTAGGTGCTCTTTAAATCTAACAACGCCGCGTCGACGGGCCGACAGCGATTGTTGCAAATTGCGTGTTTACCGCGGCGGTAATTGAAAATCTAATCTCTCCTTTCGTTTCATCACGAACGAAGCCGTAGAACGTTACACATATGAGGTCTCTTAAAGATGACGCGTCAGCCTTTCGGATGCAGCGACGCGATCCCAAGGAGTCACGCAATTTATTTTCCTTTCAGCCGGGCTTTCCAAAAAAGTCGAATAAAACACGAGTCGACCCACGAAGTAGAAATCTTGTGGAACGTGCGAACGTAGAATTTCTCGAGAATCTCTTTCGTAGAACAATTTTTGTAAAACGTCCTAGCATTTTCTCTAACCATGCGCGTTAAACTTAAGAAACTTAAGAAAATTCTCTTTTTCGTCATTCAAATCGCTACAGCAGTTCCGATAGATTCTGCAGCAGAAATCGGTAAAGTTGTCGCGTTGTTACTGTTACGATTAAACGCTAATTACGTACCTTGATCGAGGAGAATGATTTCGACGGTCGCGCCAAGAGGAATGTGTCTCACGTGAACGCACTCGCACGTGTTAACCGCGTTGCCATTGCCGAACCGGCAGTTTGGTTGGGAGGACAACGAAGATGTTTCTTTGTTTTCGTTGTGGGAGTCACTGTCGGCATCGTAGAGACACAGATTCTCTTTGGAGACGTCGGCGCCTTGCGTTAACAGCGGCGACGATGGATACGTGAAGGTAACGTTGTTCACGTTAAGTACTCTCGTTTCTACCCCGCTCTCGCCTAAAATAAGAACGAAAAATACTTCCTTAAACACGCTCGCGTTGCGAAATCGATGCTTGAAGCGGGTAACGGGGTCGTTGAGAATTTAATTGCCGAAAATAGAGAGCCGCGACGTAACTGAATCGCGGACAAATTGCAGATTTTACATATAATATTATTTATATATATTATTATCTTATTATATTATTTATATATAATAATATAATATAATATTAATATATAATATAATTCATCGTAATTCGCAAGGTAATCGGACACTCGGCAAACTGGTAACATACCAATTACGTAATTGGTTTGAAGCCTGTAATTTATCGGTAGGTGTATAGCGACGTCCGTCTTCGACGGAGAGAGAGAGTTCGGTATCTTCCGCAAAGCCTTCAAGTCTGTGACGCAAAGGCTATCCGGGTTTTGGCATTTCTCGGCAGGATTCGTTGTCATAGCGAGCCGTTTAATCTGCTGCTCCTCCTCGATCTGATCGATAATCTCCGTCGCAGATAGCGGTTCCTTGCTCGAGCTTCCCGTATACTTCAAAATCGCAGCACCGTTTATGGAACTGGGTCCGCATTCCTTCGATGTGTGCACGTTTATCCAATAAGAAGCGACGCGTCTGTTTGCCTCCACGATGAAGTCCGCCCTTTCGCCTGCCAAGACAAACGTTTTCTTTCGATTAACCCTTTCATCGTTGACCGAGACGAACAATTATAATAGAAGATACATCTGTTTTCCTATCGTGTCTATAATTTTTTTATTATATTCTCGGTATATGCACGACGTTTAATTTTTATTTCTTGCACGTCTCGTTTTACTTTTAATATTCTTACTCTATAGTATTATAGTCTACTTTATAGTTTGATATTCTTACTTTATATGATTTATATTAATTAGTTATAGTGTTCTTTATTATTATTATTATTATATTATTATTATTATATTATTATTATTATATTATTATTATTATTATTATTATTATTGTTGTTGTTAGTTATAGCGTTCTTTGATTCTAATGACAAGAAAATAAAATTTTGTTCCGAATTAGAAGAAATATACGTGCTAGATAAATTACGTAGGAAATCTCGATCGCGAGTCTGACTCGTTGCAACAGCGTAAAGGGTTAAGCGGACCACCCTGCGCAAGTATACCTGTAGCCAGAGTAATCGACGTAAGTTGCTGCGGGTCCACTGGGTGGCCATCCAGGGCAATCAGCGAAAGGGGATGAGCATCGATCGAAATAGTTATTGGACAGGTTCCAGCACCACCGGCGTTCGCCAAACGGAACCTGTGACGACGTCCCGGGACGACGGTGAACGTCGTAAACGGCACGCTCGGTCCGTTTGGCTGACGTCCTCTCCCGTTGATCAGAAGTATCGCCGGCTTTGTGTAACCTTGGTTGAGCGTGGTCTCGGCTGTATGCTGCCACTGGGTCACCAGGACCACGTGTTTCGGATCATCGATGTCGAACAGAGACCGATGCGGGTCTCTGATGTCCGCTTGCTTCACAATCAGCGCGCCGAAAATCCCATTTGTAATGTCGGCGCCTGGAAAATAATACGAGCAACCTGTGTATTCGATGAAATCCTTGCGCGACAATGTCTGGCCGCGTTTGCGGACTACAGTAATGTCTCCCTAATTAATAGGGGTAAGGTTAATAATAATAAGGCTCGATTAATCGTAACTCCTTTTCCCAAATTGTCCATTTTTGTGCACAATCTGAGCGTCGGTTAATAATAATAAGACTCGAATAATCGTAACTCCTCTTCCCAAATTGTCCATTTTTGTGCACAATCCGAGCGTGTCAGTTAGGGAGACATTACTGTAAACTGTTATCCTGGATGCAAGGTTTGCCGTTCACGGTTGTATTGGATAAAGAAATTTGTAATTTTTTGAGACGACAGAAAGTCTAGTTTGTTAGATAATAGATCAAAAATGTTTGCAGTTGGGTGAAACGAATCCGGGCACCCTGTACATTCGTCCACGCGACTGTAAGTTAAAATGAACGACTTAAAATGAATACGAAGCTGTGAATTACCGGCGTGAGCATGCCAAAGATGTGTTCCAGCGACCGAAGCCCGGAATTTGTACTGGAACGTGGTGTAGCTCGGTATCGGGCATTGTGTGATCAGAGGCGCACCGTCCATGTATGGTGTCTCGACCTGCGACTGACCGCGCCAGTGCATCGCGGCTGCTTTACCCGGAAGCCGGTTAATCACGTCCACCACCAAGATGTCGTTTTCGCAAACCTGAATAGTAAAACAGCTTGTCGTCGAAGATGATGGTCAACCGAGCGTATCTTGCTATTATCGCAACCTGTCCGCGAATATTCTCCGAAGCATCGTTATTCGCGCGTCGACGGCTCGCAAGATGAAAGAGAAAAGTGCTCTGAAAGTATTATATCTCAAGTATCGAAAGTACATCCGTTCGCGTCGCGACTTAAATTCGTGCACGTTCTATCCGATGCAACGGCTAAATTAGGTGTTCGATCGTTCTTTTTAAGTATGATGTAATGAAAATCGTGCGGTCGGAAAGTCGGGCGAATTACACTTCCCGGTGAACGCGTTAACGGAAAAAGAAGAAACGAAAGCCGCGCGCGCGCGCGTGATTCATCGAAATGGAACAAGAACAGGACTGTCCGCTCGCGTACTCGAACCCCTCGTTCCGAAGGTATTGCAACATCGGTGACAGGATATTTAAATACATATTACTATTACATAAGTCGGTGCACAGTGTAGAAGTAAGTGCGCGCGTTCGTCGAACAGCGAACGTAGCAGAACATGCATTACACGGGGTCCCTTGTCAAGTTTTTCATCTGGAAAATTACACGACCCCGCGAATCTGCATTTAATACCACACTTGCAGAGTGTTTCGTCGAGCTGTGCACCATCCCGAGGGGTTTCGCGAGTAGCATGATCAATGTTCCAGACGGTTTTCCCGATAAAACTTTCTAATTGTAAAACGAAACGAACGTCGTGCAGATTTTTCTACCAGCGAAAGTTATCGTTAATATGCGACCGTTATTCTTAATTGGTGCTTCTGTTTCTAATTTATGTTAATACGTTTCAAAGTTGCTATTCAGACTATGAAACGAAGCCGTTTCGAGACGAAGTTTAATTCATCGCTAGAAACCGCAGTCGCTAGAAATATGTTACTGCGATTGCACGAAAGACAGTTCTCGCACGTTGGAGCTTTAATTACGTGAATCGGTACTTTTCACGATTTCGCAAGAAACGTGTACAACGTTTCGCGCCAAACGTAACAAGTTGGGCGTGGAATTTAACAAAGCATGCGATAATCGCTCTATAACATGGCAAATAGCGTGGCCAGTATTGGGCGATTTAGAAATGGAATAACGTCGAAGATGATCGGTTAAATTGTTCCAGCAATTACGCTAAATTCTCCCTAATTTTCCATCGGCTTGTAGACGAAAATGGACGACTATTGCCGATTATCGACAACTATAAAAACGAGACTTTCCATTTCTGTTTACAAGCTGCAGAAAAATTGGGAAGAATTGACTGTACTTGACTCTGACAAACTAATTTTCACGAGGCATCCGATGAATTCTACGCCCATTTTTAATCAAAGTTTCGCTACAAATGCTCGCCTTACCTGAATAGTTGGCCCTGGCAATTGCCGATTCGCCGACAGGATGCCGCGTCTCTGCCCATCGGCCGACACACAATGATTCGACAGGCAAGCCGTTTCATTTTGCGGACAATCGCCGCACGATCTGCGAAAAAAGTCGCTCGTAAGAAATTAAACGGATTACGGTTTTACCGTAAACGGGCGGTTGGATAAAGCCGTCGCCTGCTCACTCGACAGACTTCCGCGTTTCAACTCGCGAAGAAATTGCATAACGGTTATTTCAACGGTAGTTAACCCGGCTTGCGATCCTCGATGGAGGCGTCCTGCTGGCAAAATTAACTTAAGACTGTCTTCTCTGTTCAGCTTGCGTCCAAGGGTTGCTCTAAGCTGTAGGATTTATGCTCGGTAAGAGGGAGGGTGAGTTTCGAGAATGGAGAATATCGTTGGGTTCTAGGAGTCTAGCTGCCAAAGGTGTTCTCTGGGTCAAGGTCGTATCAAGACAATGCGTATACGCATTTGCACGTATAAGAAAAATTTGGCTCGCACTCCTGTGCAAATTATCTGCGGAGTATTTCCAGAGTTTACTTATTAAACAGAAATAATAATCGCGATGTAATTTGGAAATGCAAAGCTAAAACTGGAAGAAGAATTAATTTGTAATAATTCGACACCGATGTCCAAGTTCCAGTCTATAAAAATTCACGTTACACACTTTCGGATAAAACTTGGAATAAAAATATTCATCTGTCCAAAACCAAAGCATTTGTAGCTTTAATGTCCGTGTTCGCAAAGAATGCAACTCGAAAATCAACGAGAACGATATCGATTTTCAAGTTTCAATACCGCTGTGTGCATCCACCGTGGTAAATTAAACAGCGCAGTATCGCAAACCTTCGGCAAACATATAGAAAATGAGAAAGGAGTATTAAAATAATGACGGTACTAAAGAAAATGCGACGTTACTTGCTAAGAGACTGGAAAACCTCGAGGGTGAGTTTGACTCGGCAAATCATGGGCCAATCCAAGTGATGACATGGTCTCTCGCAGGAAAGGAATATTTGCTCTATAAAGAAACAGAAAATTCAAATGAATAAACGTGAAAGCGAAGCGGTCCTTTCGTTCTTAAATCGTATAGTTCTCAGTGTGAATTCAAACAATTCCCGGGTCCCATTGTTTCCCTGGTCAGAGTAAGAAAGAAAAAATTCTGGCAAACTGTAAAGAGAATTCGTGTCTAGTCACGATAATCGCGTGATGGTGTACACTTACTGGGCCTGTAATTATTTACGTGCAAAAAGGTCGCCGCAGCCGCGATCATAAAAACGACCACCAGAAACCGTAGGCCGTAGGTGGCCGACGTCATCGCGCAAATCGCACCCTTCGCAGACTGCATCGTCTAACCGGTTTGTTATACGACGATAACAAAAGGTGACTGCATTCTCGACGACAGCAACTCTGTTCCCAGAAAATCTCAAAAGCAACCTTCGGCTGCTTAGACCTCCGAGAATAATATTCGAGTTCACCCTATTCCGCAAACAAGCCAGAATCACAGGTTAAACACGGGATGCAAGATTCGACCGTCTGACGGTAAAACTGGATCGACTTGAACCAAATCCATTTTATGTCAGAACTCGGATATCAGTGATTTTCAAAGCGTGCATGTATCATATTTTGGTGAAACGAGAAAAACAACCAGCACCTGCGTGGACGATCGACAGAATGCTCATACTCGTGTTACGCGTCTGTTCGCATATTTCTGATTCCTAATAGCAATTAATATCGTTGCGTCGACAGGAAGAAACGATCGAGACGCGACGTTTGAGTCCTGTGACAGAGTACGATGCGTTAGGTGAGATTATTCACTGATACAGACAGCCGGGAACCTTCCTTAAAAGTGGACCAAACGACTTGACTTTTTTCAAGAACTTGAAAGAATTTCTTTGCTACACGAAATGCAAGCTTTTTAGGATCATAATAGATTACAAAATTTAGATCGTGATAAAAGTCGATTATAATAAATTTTAAGGTTTTACCAAGGTTCTATGATAGTACACTGATCTTTTTAACGTTTCAAAAAAAACTCAAGCCGCCTGAAGTAATTTAAAAAAATTACTTAAATTTAAAAAGACTGTTCTGTTTCGAAGGATGAACGGAGATTATACAGACGGTGTTACTCGCAAGATCCGACTCAATAGTTCAGCCTCCCGCTTAACAGTTAGTTGCTCCTCTGTTCGACGTTTACGAGAGAGGAAGAGAGAGATTGAGAGAGAGAGAGAGAGAGAAAGAGAGAGACAACGATGGCGACGTGAAGATAAAGAATGACACGTGCAGAACGAGTAATTTGTAAACGTCCGGTCGAAAATGCCGGCAAAACGGCGCCGAACGTCCGCGGTCGACGATAGCGGAGTGAAAGTTAGTGCCGAAAAAAGCGAAAGGAATCGCTCCGTTGAAGATGAAAGCCACAATGGCTCGAGTTTAATCAGCTCGTTACCATAACCGATGGCAGACGTATTAACCCTGTCATTATCTTCGCTTTACCAGACGCTCGAAGGAGCGTTTTAAAACGGTCCGTTCTTATGCACACTTTGCGAACGGAGTAAACGCTGGTGGCGTAACGCTTGAGATAAGTCGTAACTCTTTACGTTGCTATGCCATCAACGGGAAGCGAGACCATCCTCCCGAAGACAAACTCGAAGATGCGCCCGAAGAAAAATCGAACAGTTAAGAAGAATGCGTAACCGAACGAGCAAGGATTTTTTTCAGAAAACACGTATTTAGAAGTTTCGCGCGATCTCGTTCGATCTACGCGTATTACGACTCATCGAAAAAGAGCATCATAGTACTAAATTTCACTGCGTGCTTATGTAAAGACGTAGCACGTTGACGCAATACGAAACATTTCGCTCGTGCACGTTTCGTTTAACAATTTTTACGATGCGCGAACTCTGACGAGCATTACTCTTCGGATTTGCGGAGAAAACACTGGACGAGACGTCGTTTACGGCGCGTTCAGCGAACGCGAGTACTCGTTTATGTCTCTCACAATCTCACTGAATATCGGATAAAGCTGCTGCACTGTTACAGAATGAAAGCAGAATGCAATCATTCCGTCGCGATACTACGACCGAGCTATGAATGAACTCGGCAGAGTAAAAATAGCGTCGTTCGATCGGAGGGCCGAGATTTCCGGAAAAGTGCTTTTCATCTGTGGAGCACGGATGACGTAACGCTAATAACCTCTCCTCCGACAGACGTTTTTTACAGACTATCGCGAACAAGGAGGCGGACTAAGCGACGTTGAATAACGTCTTCGAAAGATGCACGAAGGCCAAGCAATTTCGTTCCCGGTCTCCTTTAAGCGGTGTCATTACGATTACGCAAACTCTTGCATAATCCTCGCATAATGCACCCCGGTAGCGTGATCGGTTCACATGGCCGGCACAGAATTATTCCCGGTGTCTCTTCGACGTCGCTGAGTCCTTGCGACGATTTTAATTAGCCTCTTCGCGGTGGTAGTCGGATCGTAGTCACTGCTGCGTCCACGCGCGTTTCCCGCCGCGATCGAAACGAAAATTGTCACGATCGGTTACACAAGGATGATTCGTGAACGAGACGCACGCGAGCTCGTCGTGGTCAAGAGAAATCGGTGGAAAACGGGGGATGAGAAATTACGAGAGATTGCAAGGATCGATATTTGGATGGCGGCTCTGGGGAATCGAGATAAACAGACACGGAATCGAAAGAATCTATCGATGAACTATTCCGAGGAGATTCTAAATGAATCGAAATTGCACTTCGATGAACAGGAAATGGTACAAATTGCAATAAAGGATACGTTCGATGAAGGATGTAAAAAGCTACGCGTTCTATCAGTTGACCGCAACAAATTTAAAGTAAGTCAAACGATGCCACAGGAATATACGTCCTAATTATTAGTTCGTAAGTTCACCGGCACGGACAGCGATCGTTTAAATAAACCCTGAAGAAGGACCTAGGTGAGTCGTTTTACAAAAAAATAATTGGTAAATTAGAGGGATGACAGACAGGCACGCGCGACGATAGGGAGAAATGCGAAGCGAAGAGCGACTTGTTCGAAATCGGTACGAGATAACAGCTGTAAAATATGATCCATGGAGCCTTAAACGATGAGGGACGCCATATTCTACTGCATCACGACTGCCCCAACCTGAACCCGACGCACGAAACTCGTAAACACTTGCGCTTTCTCATGAACAACTGAGCCGGGCAACACGAGCCCGAAATTCGTTGCCAGAACACCGACGGTGTCCTCTCCCGCTTTCCCTTTCTCCTTCTCGTTCTTTTGCCGCGCGATATGCACGTTCTGGTAATTCATACTTCTGGCTGGATCGGTCATCCGCGATCATTTTTTTATCGACAGCGAAATCCGGTCACCGGAGTAAACGGTTTCAGAGTTACCATTTCCGCCCTCGACGCTAACCGCCCAGTAATTATCTAAGTCAACGCGCGTCGGTTACTCAACATCGTTCGGGTAATCTGAACGACTCGTTCAACGATCAGTTATGCGTGCCGTTTATCGGCCGCGTTGAACACGCGACACCGGTTCGTAAACCGTATCTTTGCGTTTCAGGTTTTCGGTGCGAGTAAAAGTAGAAAAGCTTCCAGAAGCTTTCCGCATCGTTGGAAAGGCGGGTTCGTTAGCGATCGACTGTGATCATCGAGATATCGGTACATCTTCGACCCCATCTTCGCCCCCGGCGAAGCCAACCGCGACGACGGAGAAATCTCGAGAAGAGTCGACGCGGCTCGAGGGTCTGTCGTTTCCTCTCGCCTTCGCGCAAGCTTTGATTAAAGTTTTGCGAAAACCACACTTCCCGTCGCTAGACGTTTCGTTGAAGAATCCTCGAAAAATAGAATAGCAATAGCAGATTTTTAAAAAAGCTTTACGTCCTCGGCGAGGTTCGGTGGTACTCTTGCACTTTGGCAAAATGTAAACGATCCCTTTCGTCGAAGTGAACGATTACGAACGGTTCGAACTTTAAACCGCAATGCGAACCTCGGAAGCTGGAGGACCTGTTACACGCGCGCCGTTGTTTTCTCTTACGACCACAGGCATGTTCGACGGGCCTCGAGCAAGGGAGTTATTTCAAGAAAATTTTCACTTAAAAGCGAAGTTAAGTGAAATTGGAAAGACGGCCCGGGAAACATTAGAAAGCGTGTGAGATAACTTTCGAGAAAAGGAAAAAAAACACTGTGCACACTGCGATGCGTTAGGTGGTTTCGAACATATCCTCCCCGCACTTGCACTTATTTCGACCTCGAAAATAATTTTCATTAATTATTTAGCAGTTTACTACTTCGCTTTGTCGCATCGGCAGTGCAAAGCTTAGGTACAAGTCTCGTTCTTGCGTAAAATATTATATATTCGCCAAAACAGCACCGAACATCGAATCGCTGATTAGCGATATTTTCTAGTTTCATTAAATTGAAAAAAGTTAAGAAACCGAACGGAACGACCAAAGACCTCCCTTTCGCGAAGAAAGTTTTGACCGAATCCTAAGTTTGATCGATGTCCACCTTTAACCACTACCAGCGGGACAACGATCGAAGCGAGCATCGTGAAAGCCGCAATGAAACGAGATAATCGAGTCGGCCGAGATCGAAGACAATGATCGGATGGAATGATTCGGAGTGAAAAGTGTGAGGTTAACGAGTGTAGAATTTCACTGCACCGTATATCGACTGCACACGTGTACCCGAAACGATCCGAGCCAAGGCACTGTCGCGGTTTCCGTCGACGACTGACCATTTTCGCCTAAATTTCGTTGCCAAAACTGGAGGCGACCTTTCTCTCTCTCTTTCTCTCTCTCTCTCTCTGTCTTTCTTTTTTTACGACTCTCCCTGTAGTGCTCCCGCTTGCAGCTTGTGTCACGAGCTTCCGTGTTCTAGCGTTTCCTCCGGAACGAGATCCGCCATCGGCAACCGGTTCGGATGACAATCGACCGGCCAGCCCCCTATTCGCGCGGACGCAGGTAAAACGCCACACGCTCGAAAATATGTGTCAGAGACGTCGAATCGACGAAGTGAAAGTTGCCCAGAGGGTTCGTAGACGATTCCTCACACCCGCGTATCTTACCTCGGGCTTTTCGTTACGTCTGGCAAGAAACTGCACGCATACTTTCATCTCTTGACATTTCTGCGCCCACCCCCCTTCCTGGAACCCCGCCTCCCCCCTTTCCATGTTCAACTCGTTGCCTCCCTCTCTCTCCATCTCTCTCTTTCTCTTTCTCTTTCTCTTTCTCTTTCTCTTTCTCTTTCTCTTTCACCGACTCACCCTTCCCCGGCGTTTCCCTGGCTGCACATTACGCCCAACCTCTTGCCGATGATCCGTGGTCCAAAAGATTTCACTTTCGCTGAGACTCGGCACCGCGCTACCGATCCTCCCCGACTGGAGAACGGGTGCCGTTCTCCTTTGGTCAAACAGCGTCGCTTTCTAATTGTCACTGGGACTCGTCCGACTAGGCCAGCAGGTTGCGATTCGTCGCCAAGCGAATTGATCGAGATGTTTGGCGAAACGATGATCGGATTTTTGAAGACCGTCGCCGCGCGCGNGCCAACCGCGACGACGGAGAAATCTCGAGAAGAGTCGACGCGGCTCGAGGGTCTGTCGTTTCCTCTCGCCTTCGCGCAAGCTTTGATTAAAGTTTTGCGAAAACCACACTTCCCGTCGCTAGACGTTTCGTTGAAGAATCCTCGAAAAATAGAATAGCAATAGCAGATTTTTAAAAAAGCTTTACGTCCTCGGCGAGGTTCGGTGGTACTCTTGCACTTTGGCAAAATGTAAACGATCCCTTTCGTCGAAGTGAACGATTACGAACGGTTCGAACTTTAAACCGCAATGCGAACCTCGGAAGCTGGAGGACCTGTTACACGCGCGCCGTTGTTTTCTCTTACGACCACAGGCATGTTCGACGGGCCTCGAGCAAGGGAGTTATTTCAAGAAAATTTTCACTTAAAAGCGAAGTTAAGTGAAATTGGAAAGACGGCCCGGGAAACATTAGAAAGCGTGTGAGATAACTTTCGAGAAAAGGAAAAAAAACACTGTGCACACTGCGATGCGTTAGGTGGTTTCGAACATATCCTCCCCGCACTTGCACTTATTTCGACCTCGAAAATAATTTTCATTAATTATTTAGCAGTTTACTACTTCGCTTTGTCGCATCGGCAGTGCAAAGCTTAGGTACAAGTCTCGTTCTTGCGTAAAATATTATATATTCGCCAAAACAGCACCGAACATCGAATCGCTGATTAGCGATATTTTCTAGTTTCATTAAATTGAAAAAAGTTAAGAAACCGAACGGAACGACCAAAGACCTCCCTTTCGCGAAGAAAGTTTTGACCGAATCCTAAGTTTGATCGATGTCCACCTTTAACCACTACCAGCGGGACAACGATCGAAGCGAGCATCGTGAAAGCCGCAATGAAACGAGATAATCGAGTCGGCCGAGATCGAAGACAATGATCGGATGGAATGATTCGGAGTGAAAAGTGTGAGGTTAACGAGTGTAGAATTTCACTGCACCGTATATCGACTGCACACGTGTACCCGAAACGATCCGAGCCAAGGCACTGTCGCGGTTTCCGTCGACGACTGACCATTTTCGCCTAAATTTCGTTGCCAAAACTGGAGGCGACCTTTCTCTCTCTCTTTCTCTCTCTCTCTCTCTGTCTTTCTTTTTTTACGACTCTCCCTGTAGTGCTCCCGCTTGCAGCTTGTGTCACGAGCTTCCGTGTTCTAGCGTTTCCTCCGGAACGAGATCCGCCATCGGCAACCGGTTCGGATGACAATCGACCGGCCAGCCCCCTATTCGCGCGGACGCAGGTAAAACGCCACACGCTCGAAAATATGTGTCAGAGACGTCGAATCGACGAAGTGAAAGTTGCCCAGAGGGTTCGTAGACGATTCCTCACACCCGCGTATCTTACCTCGGGCTTTTCGTTACGTCTGGCAAGAAACTGCACGCATACTTTCATCTCTTGACATTTCTGCGCCCACCCCCCTTCCTGGAACCCCGCCTCCCCCCTTTCCATGTTCAACTCGTTGCCTCCCTCTCTCTCCATCTCTCTCTTTCTCTTTCTCTTTCTCTTTCTCTTTCTCTTTCTCTTTCTCTTTCACCGACTCACCCTTCCCCGGCGTTTCCCTGGCTGCACATTACGCCCAACCTCTTGCCGATGATCCGTGGTCCAAAAGATTTCACTTTCGCTGAGACTCGGCACCGCGCTACCGATCCTCCCCGACTGGAGAACGGGTGCCGTTCTCCTTTGGTCAAACAGCGTCGCTTTCTAATTGTCACTGGGACTCGTCCGACTAGGCCAGCAGGTTGCGATTCGTCGCCAAGCGAATTGATCGAGATGTTTGGCGAAACGATGATCGGATTTTTGAAGACCGTCGCCGCGCGCGGGATCTTGGCTTTCTAATGATAAACCAGTCGCGTGGGTAATTATACTCCTTGCTCGAAGCACGCCGCCCATGATCGCGAGCTCCGGCCATGAGCCGATGATATAAAGCGGCGAGCACTGCCAATCAAAAGTTTCAACGGGTCCCACGGGATTTTCTCTTAAAGACGAGCAGATGTTCGATCGGCTCGAATTATCGAGTCTTTAATCTCGTTTTAAACTTTCTACGATTTTACTGTAACGAGCGTGATCGTGAAAGTTTGTTTGTTACGCGGGAAATTTACTCTATCGAGCGTAATGCGATTCAAACGTTTAAACGTCGTTGGACAGCGCGCGCTCGATAAGCGCGCGAGTTCGGGGCTTTAGAGGCGAACTGTTCCAGGAACCGAATAGTTATCGCGCGACCAATCGCGCGAGTGCCTTTCTTGCCTCCGATTGCCTTCTTGGTGGAGCAACGGACACGGTAGCCAGTCGCTTGACCGCGAATGTATGCGCGCGAGAGGCGATTCTAATCGAAACTGTATCATTCGATGCGGCGTCTTTGCAAATTATTCTCAACTTTGATGGAAGAAGAAGAAAATTATAAAACCGATTTCAACAGCATAAAGATAAAGAATTCGGTTTGCAATTCGAGTATCTTACACGTACCAAAACAAATTTATCATCTCAGTTTATTTATAGTCGATCGATCTATAACTACGATACGTGATGTAGTTATAATTCCTTAGTATACTAAATAAATACCGAAGAAACGCCGGAGAACGAACAAAATACCATATTAAAATATTGGCCACTGTATTGTTTACCGAAGATAATTCAGTGCATAGAATGGACCGATTCGAGCCCGCACGTTTCCATCGAGCTTTCATCGAAGGACCGCGAAACACAAAGGCACGGAAATGAATTCAATCTTCGTCCCGTCTCATTTTCATAGGATAGAAAGGGGATCGATGCGGAGAAAACAGCCGTCGTATTATTTTCATGTATGGAATTCCAGTCAAGTATTTAATTCACTGCTGCCTCTTCGATCGCCTCGCGTTAATTAATAAAATAAAAAAAACATAGGCATCGGCGCGTTCGCTCGAGCATTCGAACGTGTCTGTGTCAAATATGCACGCGGTCGCTTTCACTTCCGTTCGGAGGGATCGCTACAGTTTTTCGCCTATTAAACTTCTTTCGTTTTTTGTTTTTTTTTTTGACGGGCGTGTACAACTTTCAGCCTGAATGATAAATCGACGCATCGTCGGCGCGATCTCGAACGCGCTTTTTAATCGCACAAATGCTGGTAATCGGCGAACCGTCTGGAAAACCGTGTTTTCATCTTACTGCAGCCGAGATGAAAGCGCTAATCCCGATCCGCAGCCAGGCATATCAAAGAATTCAACAAATAAAATTAATTCGATTAACCGGCACGGTTTGTCCCACTTCGATCAACCGTTGAAAGTCGCACGCATACATTCAAGGCCACAATTTCTTTTGCTCTCGTATCGTTCGCGTTCACCGGCTCGCCGCCATTATCTGGGATAACCGGGAAAAGCTTCGTTTATCGTCTGTTATGAAAGTGCGGACGAAAGTTCTCGCGCATAAAGGCGTCGTTCGCAAAAGGACGAAATTAATAGAAATCAATTGACGCGTCTCTCTGTTCACGACCGACCGTTTCTACTTGCGAACGTTGATGCACGCGTACATACAATGTCTCGTGTACAAACACGCGAGCTATCTCCGCGGAGAAATGTCAGTGCCTCGCGGCTGCATCGACGTTTCATAGACAGTTTTTGTGTTTGATGTACAACGTATAAAAATGACCGGTGTCCACGATGAACACGTACTTTCTTCTTCCCGCGGTTACGCAATCGCCGGCGAATTACTTTCCCTTGGAACTGGTTTCGTTGGGCTCTCCGAATCGCTACCGCCGCGAAAAGCAAAATATTCTTCGTCGAATAAAAACACTTTCCATGCTCGAGGAGAGATCATCGTTCGTCGTTCGGTCGACGATTTCGTGAACCACGAAACGTTTATCGCAAGGTTACGCAACCGACGTGAACTTCGCTGGAAACTTCGCGAGCCCGCAGTTCCATCTGTCCCAACTTTCTTTGGTTTTTACAGGCGCTAAATGTCGTTGTAAGACGGAGAAAGTGACGCATAAAAGATTCGCCGTGTTTCCGAACCGTTTTAATCGAGCCGCCGAGGAGCGGTGCACGCTTTAACGCTCGGCTTTTAACCGCCGAATAAAACGAATCGTAAAGCCGAAACCGTGCTTGCATAGGAAATCAGCTGATGTTAAAAGCGGAAGAAAGTGCAGATGTCTTCCATCCGCGGGTCGAGAAAATAATAGACCGCGCTTTCACACGTAACTTTTGTACAGCGTCAAGTATGCTAACGCGTTTAAATAGCGAGCCAACGATAGCAATTCAAGCAACGCGCTCTTTGAAAAGAGTCGTTGATACGTGCACGATCGAATCGTAAGTTTATCGTATAAAATACTTCTGCGCACAAGATAGAAAATATCTTCGCTTTATTTTCGTGTACCTAGGAATACGAAACAATCGTGTTTCCAGTACCGTGACAGCAGATTTCTTTTTGCGTTTTGAACGCGATCGTCCGCCTATATTCGATTAGTTTAGTCCCGAGGAACAGAAAGTGTCTTGACACCTATGCAGTCAACTTTTCTTTATGAAAGAGTTCCATCTATAAATAGGATTTAGCAGTGAAGAAACGATCGTGCGAAACTCTCACCTCTCAGGTCACTTTTGCTTACAATCTTTCTAGAGATGCTGCATCACGGTTTCGTGAAATCAGTTTCCAATATATATCTTCCTCTTGCATAGTAGCACAAAATATATTCGACTTTCATTTTTGCAGCTGTCAGAAAACAGTTTAACCCTTTCATAGGCAACTAAGCTTTCCACTAAGCTTTCCATGGGAACTAAGCTTTCCACCCACTTTCAGCGCGCATACGAACGCTAGGCTCGAATATTCCCACCGTTGAAACGTGCTGCCATCTATATATAGGTCCCAGCACCCCCAATTTTGAGGGGTGAAAAATTATAAATAACAAGAGAGCGAATAACAGCTGCATCACTATATGATAAAATTATGGTAATTGTATTCTAATTTTTTTGAAAATTCGTATCGCGCCCGTGAATGAGTTAAGGAAGCGGATAGTTTATGAACCGAGGAATTTGTATATTCGCAACAAGCGTTATATTATTTAAAGTTCGATCGAATCGGTTCTATTGAAACATTCTTACTGAGCAGACTGTTACCGAGGTAGAAAACGCAGAATCGCAATCGGAATTCATAACGGTAGTTGCATCTCTCATAATGATAATGCCGCTTGTGGTCAAGTATCTTGAGGTAAAGACAGGTGTGATGTGTGCGATCTTAAACCGACTCTTAGAGGTCGTTAACCTCCAATCGGTACGAAATTTGTGATGCATGAAGTCCGGACGCACTGCGCGGATTGCAGTTTCCAGTAAAAAAATAATTTTAAATGAGAATTCGCGTTCATTTGCTATCGATCAATTTACAAACAATTTGATGAAAAATATATTCCTTTCTATACTTTCGAGAATTAAGAAATCAGAATCTGTCTGTAAATTAATTTGGAAATGTATTTCTCCAGATTTCTATTTCTATAGAATCTAAGATTCTGTTACAATTCTATTCTAATATATATATACATACATATATATAATATGTAGGACATGTATGCGTAACAATAGTTCATCGTCTCTTTCGTGTCGAATCCATCAAAAGGTTGTTTCGATTAAATGACAAAGCATCGCGAACGATTTCGAGAGCCCAGGACAAAAATCATAACTCCTGAGCTAATCAATTTTCGATCAAAATGCCTTGATAATTTGTCAAAGAAAACACAATGATAAAAATATGAAAAGTTGATTTCATCAAAAAAATTCTTGTCACCTTTATTTTCTATATCGAATAAAAACTTTTACGCAGATTTTTGTTAACACGTTTTATTGTTAGCCGAATACCGAGTAACGGTTGTCCGAAAGATTCTTTCATTAATTTTGCGTTAGTGCCTGAAAATTCGTAACAATCGTTTCGCATTGTATGTGTTTCAAACCGGTTATGGCTACACATGTTAAACGACTCGGAAGATCGCAAATTTTTGAATATTCCGTTGCTAAACATGGTTATTTAAACATTTTACAACATCGTACACATAGTTTCGAATAGATACGAAGCAGTGATTTTTCTAAATTTTATCCATTGATATAATTGTGCGTCGTAGCGAACGCGAGAGATGGGCGTTATCTGACAAAACTGACCTGGTATAGGTGTCAAATAGATGATGGTGGCGACGACGGAGCTGAGACCGACCAAAATTGCGAATCTGAAGAACATTGTACCGACGATTTTTTGGGGATATCCGCGCGATTCAACGACAATTCAGTGGCTCGGCCTGTGCAGCGAGAACGAATCGAACAGGTACCCGATCTGGCCGGTTTCGTGGTTGCAGGTACACTAGCACGATACCAGCAAGTTCATTGCCAAAGAGAGAGTTGTTTCCTGATTAAAAAGAAAGATCTTTCAGCTGCGAAAACGCTCGCGCTCCTTCTACCGCATGTCGTAGACCGCAGTATGCATTTCTGTTTGCGCATGCAGTTTCTATCGTACGAAAAACTGTTCATTGTTGCTGGAACAGCTGAAATCCTAAAATCTGCTACGCAAAAACGGATTATTTTCTAAACTATCGCTTATTTTTGTAACAACGAAGATGCTGTATGAAATATTTATTTATTTTTGTAACAACGGAAATACTATTTGAAATATTTATTTAATATGCCAGTTTTGGTTGTAAATTGCAAAAATTTCGTTGGCTGTTACAAAATTATTACGTTTATTCCTAAGAGTAATTATGTAATAGTAACATACGATGACCACAAAATGCAATACAACGAAAACATTGCCAATGTTACAGATTCATAGTAACAATATTTATGTGTATACACATATACGTTATGTGAATTTCTAAAGTACAGGAAACGTGTAAGAGAATAGAAATTAATTAGTATCTAATTTTTACCATCGATAAAAGAAATTTCTCTCTTATTTTCAGTTTTAAAAGAAGTTGCATATAAATATGCACGGTTTATACATACATTTAAGAAATTGTTAATACACGTGTATTTTAGTACATCTGTGTATCCGTGTACTGCTAATATTTTTTATTTTGATCAATTATTTTATGTAGAATAAAATACTTGCATTTTCAAGTATTTATTTTTTAAGTATGCAAAAGATTTTGAGGAAAAAATATCGTTTTCTAAGGCTGATTGACACAATAACGTACATGTTTAATTATTTATTGAAATACACGTATGCGCGTGTTAAAAATGATCAAGAAGACCAAAACACGTGTAGCTTAATTACATGTGCACGTGAAATAGAGATCTCTAATGCATATGCACATAAATACATTTAATTATTTTAATATAATAAATATGTAATTATAAATTTGTTTTATGATCCTGAAAAGTTTATTTATAACTTTATTAAAATATATTTATAAAATATACATACACTGTGAATATCGTCAAGTTACGTAAGTTCATAAACAATGGTGGAGCTATAATCGCTTGTTACATTACTTTTCTGTTCGATGTCTGGAGAAGAGGTTATGATCTCAGATTAAACAGAGAAATAATTATGGAAGAAGTTTTGGATAACAATTTTGATGAAATATATCCAGATATTGAGAGCACCATAAAAAATGCAACCTTTATATCGATCGACGCAGAATTTACAGGAATACAGTCAAATGATCAGATAAAGTACAGGTTAGCACGATTCAATATTTATCAATTTCTATTTTAACTGTAGAATTTACAATTTTTTATATTTTATTTCAGTCTTTTCGATACGATCGATGACCGATACAAGCTATTAAAAAAAAACATTGATCCGTTCATAATAATTCAATGTGGTGTTGCTGCATTTCAGCATTTTCCTCAACAAAATACTTATAGGACAAAATGCTATAATTTTTACTTGCTACCACGACCCTTACCATTTAAAAATAGGACATTTTTATTGCAAGTGGCTGCCTTAGAGTTCCTTTCTATACATAACTTTGATTTCAACAAAGTAAGAAAACAACACACTTTACATTATGGAAGTACAAAAAATTATTATAATTATAAACACTTTTAAGTGTAAGTAAATAAAATTATCCATATTTTAGAGTATGCACAATGGTATATCGTATGTAGACCAAATAGATGAACAATTACTGAGAGAATATGTAGAAGAAGGTAAATTCATGAGTAATTTAGAACATTTATCGTATCATGAAGAAGACGTATTCAAGGAGTGTAAAGATAAAGTAGAAGAATGGCTTGTTACTCCAACGAACGAAATCACCTATGAATTGGCAACTGTAACTCCTATCTTACAATATATGGTGCACAAAGAGTTAAGAACACATTTCAAAAATATTTGGACGATATCTGGTAACAAATCGGTACGTGAAAGGTGATTAGTAGAAGTCTGTTATAAATTAAAATTTTACAAGGTTTCGTGTTTTTTCCAGGTGATTGTTATAAGGGTGTCAGAAGACATGCGCAGAGTTTATGAAGAAAAAAGAAATGTCGATCTAGATAAAGCACTATTGGATACTTATATAGGATTTTCTAAAATATTTAAGCTTTTAACTTCCTCAAAAAAACCTATAATAGGGCATAATATACTTCTAGATTTAATGCTGATGCATCAACAGTTCTACAAGCCATTACCAAGTAAGTATTCTATATCTCGTTAAAAACAGAAGTAACACATTTACATTATTTTCATCTAATATAAAATATCTTTTAATACATTAATTTTTATATTATATCCGTTTCAGAATATTACAGTGAATTTAAAACTAATATACATTCTTTATTTCCACAACTGTATGATACAAAATTTTTGAGCTCCGAGTTCAAGAAACGGATCAGCGGAGATGGTAATGGAAATGTCAATAAGAATTAAAAATAAAAAATGAATAGTAAACTAACGTGACTATTAATAATTTTTTTTCTCTTTCTAGTAAATTGGAAAATATCTTCGCTTCGTGCAATATATGAATATTTGAAGTTGAACAAAGGGAAAAGTTTAGCATTGAATTCGCCACATATTAAAATGCATAATATATCGGAAGGTAATAATTTCATAAGTAGTTTGGAACGCTTATCGCTGTATTGAAAAATAATAAATGGCAATCAAATTCCCCTTTAGATAAAGAAGCTTATCATACTGCGGGTTGGGATGCTTATTTAGCCGGATATATTTTTATAAAAATGGGGTATCTATTAACTATACAAAAATATGGAGAGTAAGTTTATATTTACCGAAACTTCAATTGTCAACTATTGACCCATTTTTAATTATTTAAATTTTAGGGGTTTAGCACTTCGCCCGGTGACTCATACTGAAATAATGAGCAGTGTAAAACAGTTTGCAAATTTAATAAATCTAACAAGGGGTAATGAATTATATTTGGTAAGAGAAAATTAAATATTAGAATTAATTTTATAAGTAAATAAATAATTGAATTTCAGAAACTTGATGGACATGACCCAGTATATACAAGACCAGAATTTCTTCATGTTAAATTAAACACCTCGCCTACAAGTATGAAAGAGGTGTGTTTGAGTACAAATTTATATACAGAAAAATATTATTTTAATTAACAATTTCATTATTAGATTGCTGAAAAGTTTTCACCTTTTGGGCCGATAGATGTGATGCCTTTTGCTCGAAAACGCGTACTGGTAGCTGTTTCAAATGAAAAAAGGTTAGTATAATATTACATTTTTATCGAAGATGTAAGCTTGACATATGCTATACACGAAATTGTATAAATTTAGAAAAGACAATCAATGTTAGGAGACCCTGTCTCGTTCAAAAATACTTTTCACTCGAGCAGAAACATTACCAACGTCCGTATAATTTTGTTCGCTGCTATAAATCAATAATTCATTTATTTGTTCACTTTTCAAACCATTTGAAAAATCCCGGAGTTTAGTAACTCTGTATGCAAGTATATACACCCGGTGTCGTGCGTTTATTGTTTTGCGGAAATGAAAAATATTTCAGTTAGATAAATTGATAACCCAGAAATGTTTAACAACCTGTACATATGTATGTAAATACATACATACTGTCGTAGCAGATAACTCGTTCGAAGCGAAACAAATTTAAACGTGGTTGTCGTCGGGCACAAATAACCTGAATGCAACCTGTCGTACTGACATGAAACACGCTCACAGAAACTCATATTTTGCCGTTCGCACGGCACAGTATCCGGGTTAAGAAAATAATAGGGAGATTAAAGGGAAATATAACGGGTACCGCGAATCTTGTGTACGATTCGTGCAATATTGGAGACCGTCGAAGGTGCATTCCTAACAGGAAAGACAAACACGTTTGTAATAACCATTATATTTACGTATTATACTTTAGTTCACGCACCAGGCAAATATAATTAGGTATTAAGTACGCAGTTGGTATTTTAGTATGAAGCTGCTGTGAAGTAAGGTGGCGGAACTATTTTGGATCATATCCAAGGGCAACCGCGTATACTCGTCGTTGCACTTACAAAGTGTAATATCAGTGCATGCGATTTTGTATGACGTAACTATTGTATACGCCCGTTTTGCCAGAATTTGTTCGGTTCAGCCCTATCCTGATCGTTCTACGCGATGTTTTTCATAGTACGAGACTCGGATTGATTAGTTTGTTTCACGCGTCAGACGATAATTATATCAATTTCATAGTTGAAACGCGCGCGTATAAATCGAAGCAATGAAGGAAGATTACCGATTTACAAGAAACAATTAGCACGGTTTAATGTTTGTGTGGGAAACGCATTAAATATAATTCCACACATGTCAGCGATGCATCAACAACAGGAAAGCTATTAATATCGATGAGCAAGGTGAACGACCCAAGATCCCTTGAAGATTGTTTCCACCATTGGAGTTCTCGCATAAACTTAATTATACATTTAATATAAATTAGGTTTCACACACGAGAATTTGTGATATACGTATTTATATTAGCATTTTAAACAGAAAAAGCTTGTGCAGTACGTTTTATTTGGAAATCTAAAATATCTTGGAAACTACGAAAGACAGTGGAAAAATGTTGTAACAAAAGTTGTTCGATTCGTTGAGGCATATTATGTCCCATAATTTTTACGTGACTACAGTAGTTTTCTTGAGACAAATTCAACGACATATTATTTATTATCATTCCCAGCGATAAAGTCAAACATTGAATCGGTCTGGCAGAAGCAGATAGCATATTACATATTAGTCACGCAGGGTTCAGGCTTGGCCGATAACTCACGGTTCGCGTCGATCCGAGTGCTTTGCATCTCGCTACTTTAAGACTCTACCTCTCGAAATGATAACAAATAATATGTCGTTGAATTTGTTTCAGGAAATGCTAACAGATCATAAATAAAAATATACATGTATTGTATTAAAACCACGTAATCCGCCCCATCGAATTAAGCAACTGCAAGAACGTTCTTTCACTATTTTTCGTAGTAGTGCTAATCCAGTTCATGGAAATTAATATTTCGCGCAATTACTATCATATATTATGGAATGAATAGTTTTCGCGGATGCAATGGAAACGTTGCATGATCTTTATCTAAATGTTTAAATTAAATTTATATATATATAATAGTATTACTATTATATACTAGTATAGTATAGTACTAATAATAGTATTACTATTATTACTATTATATAATAATAGTAATAATCAATAAGAATTTAATTAAGATTTGAGAACGATGATAAAAACTTTAATAGAGATTGTAGGACAAAAATGTGATAAAAATGATTAACGGGAACATTTAAGCTTAGTTGAAACAGATTGAGTACTGTCTAGAACTGGCGTGTCAATGTTGCGAATCCTGCTACACGCATCGAATCATTGTGCACAGTTGGAATAATCCCCACACACAAGTTTATTTCTATGAGCATGTTCGAATGAACAATCGATCGCGTTTTCCGAATTCAAATAGCCTCGAATCACAAACCACCGTCAGTTAAATGTCGAATTTAAGCGAATCCATTAAAATAGGTTTACTTTTCGATCGACGAGCCGTGGAAACAAGGTGCACTTATGTAAGAACCATCGCAATTGGCAAATTGTAGCAAACTCGTCGCTCGAATTTCATTGAAATTCGCGATGATATTTAAACGATCAATGAAAATTGAAATTCAAAGGTTAAATGCGCGTGTGTTTATATAGAAAATGTATACAACAGAATTATGTTCTTGCTCTGTTTAAAACCAATTTAGATCATCTTAGAATATCTGGAAACTCGAGACACATTCGTCATACTTATTTCTTATCTGTTTTTCCTTCATAGTGTTTAGTTTTTTTTCTTTTTTAATGAAAAGGTATCTTTAAAAAAAAATGGCACATTATGGGCATCTGTTTTACTTCACTACTACTATAATTACATTCATTGTGTAATATTAAACTACACCATATCTTATACAAGAGAGTCTACAGCATAGTGTCGTGCAAATGAAAGCTGTACAAACCTATCCGATCTACCAACAGATTTATATTCCGCAGACGAAGATTAAAAACGTTCGTTCCGAGTTACAAGTTCGAAGAGATTTTACGACCAGAATAAGCATCGTAGATCAAGTCATGAATATGGCGTACGAAACTGCAACAATAACTTCTGTTAGGAACACAAAGAGTAGCTCTCAGACCGTAAAGCTCGTCACGCGTATCGGAGGTACGCAAGTCAGGTGACTTCATCATTCCCGAATTAGATCAAAATGAATTATCCGGTGCCCCGCTATCAAGTATGCATTTTCACGAGCGTGATGCATTTTCTTTTACGTTCACCATCCTGCACAATTCACTCGCGGCCTACCGACGTTCATATATTATAAGTATCAGATTTTCTTCGGGACTGGCATTGTTCCAAAGTCGGTGTATCGTTTCTAACCGACGCACTTTTGTATTAGCGCCGTCGCCGCCGTCGCGTATCCGAATTATGCAAATCGAATTAACCGACTGCAACTAGACGCTGCTCGATAAGTATAATAATACCGATCGCATTGTTGCTTTAATTTGCTTTTATTTCGAGCTTGTGCGTTGCGTCCTCGGATTATACCGCGGCACAACCTCGCTTGATAAGTATAATAATACCCGGAATTCCTAAAGGTTGTCTCCGGTTGATTTCAATTTTAGCTTCTGCGTTGCTCTCTTGAATCGCACTTAAGGGTGCTTTAATCGAACGATCGAATTATGCGGCAGAATAGTTTTGCAGTTCTAGGATAGCAATAGTATTTTTACCATCTGGTCGGCCGATAAAGCAAAGCTGGAATATACACGCGATAAAAAACACGACGACGAATCTGAAAAAACCAGCAATTCTTGTAAAATTATTGTGTTCTTTCTTTTGTTTCGAACGATTTCACTCCTACGACATTTTTGAACGCTCTTAAATTCCCACGTTCTGTTACTTAAATTTGAAAATTATAACGTACGTCAGAAATTATTGAAAAGATTATTAACTTTCTGAAATATTCGATACAGACGCGAGGATTAAGAGAATAAACGTAACAATCTCTTGAAACCGTTTACTAGTTTTATTAGTTTTTTAAATATGCTTCGCACCACGGCTTAAACAGTAATAAAAGCCAGTTGCGTTGCTTAACGTAATCGATACAAAATTATTTTTACCCGGGTGTTATAATTGTGGTCGCTTTAAAAAATCTTGTTACAGTGTGCTCAACATATTGGCCCATTTCCAGAACAACCAGGAAATGCAGGTGGCTGTATACAACCCTATAAAGCACGCTCATCCAAGAAAAATTGTTTTATGGTACGTAAATCCGAATTATTTAATTTTGCGTATCGAGGACTTCGATGTTTGTCGCATAACCTCTCTTTCAAGTGTTTCATTCAATTTTCAAAGCATCCAAAGTTGCAACGTAACATTAAAAGAGGTGACATCTTTATTGAAAAATTGACACTTTTCCGTGGCCCTGTTATATCTTAATAATTTAGCGGGCACGATTGGTTGCATTGGAATCAAGGTGCACGAGGAATGTTAATCGCCGGCTTTGTCGTCCTTGTTGCATTTTTACGATCGTCCGGGTCCGTTTTATTTTCCGAAAGTGCCGTTTCGGTGCTATCGCTAATACTCGTAGCCCGCGCGTTAAAACGTCTGGTTGCGCGTAAATATAAAGCTGTCGGTGTAAGTGATTTAACTGCGCGCGACATTTATCGCTGCATAATTTACTGCATTATCACACGGTCCTAAAATTACATGGTCTCTGCTCGCGTTCGGCATAATAATGATTCTGCACAGTGGAAACCGAGCGGAATTCGTCGGGAACGAAATATTTCACGATCAGAGGTGCCGACGATGATCCCTCCGATGGCCGGGGCCTGGGGCCATTTTCCGAGGCCGCGCCGGTATGCACTAATTCGGTAACGTTTCTAACGCCGGCGTGATGCAATCGGGATTTCGAACAGGCCGCTCGATACCGATACTCGTGTGCCGGTGCTTAATTTCGATCCGTGTTAGCGAACGAGGCTATCCGCGTTGCGTCAAACAAATTAATGTCTCTTCCCAGGAGAGCGAAGAGCCGCTGCGCCCGCAAAATCTCTAATTAGCACTAAGATTGCCGTAGATGCATAAGTACTGTTCACGGTGCCAATTGTTGCGAAGGCAGCGCGCATCGTGGCACCCATCGCGTTACCCAACGCTACAGCAAAACGTTGGAGATGCTCCGATTTCGATTGCTTCTCTTCGACGTTCCGCCGAAACCCTTGCGAAACCTTGATTACGTAATCCCAGGCCTTCGATAGGAAAGGGACGCGCGCGTCGAAACGCCGTTTTAGGAGAATCGAATTCGAAGTTTTATTTACGCTGTTATTCGACCCTTGTGCGACCGGATGTCCCTTTTCGAAGCACTTGACAAGACCGTTGGAAATCGTGACACCTTTATTACGTAATCCGGACAGTCGACGGGGAAAGGACGCGTGCGTCAAAATTCCATTTCGAGAAAAAAAAGAATAACTTTTTGTACTCGGACGTCCGGACAAAACGAGTGGGTGCCATTACAAGCAAAATGATTGAAAGAAGGAAGACACGCGACGAGTCGTAAAATATATAAGCATCCTTGAGAATTCCATAAAATCAACTGCAAGGGTGACACGGCCGTCAACGCGTCAATTAACGTGGCGTTAAACAATATCTCGCTGTATTATTGATCGAATCGTGCACAATGGTCCAATAATAATTGCTTTGTTTACAGGAGCAGCTTGATCTTGTCGAGCGGGGTACTCGCCTGGATGATTCAACGCGTGTTTAAGAAATCCGTAACATTCGACTAATCCCTTAGCGTTCTCGCAGTATTTCTATTTTGTGACGTAATACCAAAAACTTCGGAGACTTCAAGACTGATCCAAATCCTGCGCTTTTCGGTCAGAGGAAGTCCGGAAGGTAATAAAAAGAAGGACCACGAAGACGCTAGCGACGCGTTACAGACAAAGGAGAAACGTTACCGATGATTTAACCATGAAGACGGTCATTGTAATCGAATCTTTTTCCACGTTCATTTCTAGGTGAAATAAAATCACCGATTCGCCGCGATGGGAATTCGAGGTGACAAATGAAAACAAACTTCGATTCGGTTTCCAGACTACTGGCGTATTTTCTCCCTGACAGCGTCCCTCCGCGTCGCGCCGGTCCGCGGGATCTATTTAAATTTTCGATCGAGAAATCATGAGTGGAATCTTTGCGTGAGCTGTTATTATTATTTCACGTTCGAGCCGAACGCTCGGTGTCGGGCCAGAGCTCGTTTTCGCCAAGGAAGTGTTTCCTGCCGTTGCCAAGCTCGTACTCTCTTTGAAAAATACAATTATCCCTGCCGCCGAGATGCGTCGATCGCCACGCATGTCCAGCTATCGTACCTTTTTTCCCCCGTCGACACGTATATTGCCTTTCGTCCGACGCGTCACGCTCGGTACCGTGCCAAATAACACGAGACCACCGTGACGTCACAATCGACGAAAATTCCTCGGAGACTTTCTTGCCGGGAAAAGCTGCGCACCGAAAGATATAATGCTCGATGGAGCTCTTCAAGGTCCCCTTACAACTGTCGCGGCTGCTAGCATTGCACCTTTGCGCACCGTAAAGTGCACTCGTGCAGCGGCATCGCGTTGTCGATCAAGAGACACGTGGACCTCTGGAGAGGGCGGGGGTTTGGGAGATCAAAGGTGGCCTCGCGTAAAAATATTTCAACCAGGAGATACAAATATTTGCTAATATTATTCTGTAACAAACAAGAGTATTTCGTTAACTGTTTCCAATACTTTGTTAAAGATTTTTACACGGGTCCGGTGGCCACAAGTGAAAATCGAGAAAGAGGGGACGTTGCACGTGACTAGACCGTGGTTCTCAATCTCGTTCCATTCATTTAACCATCTCATTCATTGAGAAATGTTTAATTTGTTGGTAGTTTTCTATAAATTTAGAGTTATTATTTGTGCAGAAAATCACATTGAATGTGCAATATAAGGTCAGACATAAAAGTTGAAACTCTTCCCCTTTCTTTAAAAATAACTACAATAGATTTATATATTTATAGATTAGATATTTATATTATTTAGATTAGACATATAAATATATATAAATTAATATAATATATAATAATAATAATAATATTATAATATAATGTAATATAAGTATAATACTAATGTTCCTTAGATTCAGATAACCGAAATATCTAATCTAATATCTAATAAACATATCTAATAAACATTATTACTACTTAGTTATAGTACTGTATTAAATCCTGACTGATTTGTGCAACCGTTTGCGAACCAATTTAGACCGATCTACATACTTACGCGAATTCTGCTAACCGAAGAGCCTAGAAATCGGAGGTTCGTCTTTTAAATAAAAGCATATTTTGTGTACAAATATGAACCAGTGAAACAGATTTCAAAGAACGATGGTAATCGCATCGTGTTAATCCGTAAGCATTCTTCTGTAGCGCGTACGACGGAAAATGAGAACGTGCAAGCAGCACGTGACAAAATATATCATAACTCGGTTGTAATCTTGGCTGACAGTCAGTCCGGTCATCATCGGTATCTCGAGGAGGAACGCAGCGTTAATTCAACGTCTGATGATTTACGATGAAGAAGACGTCGCCTGAATCGATGCCCACGAATTACACAGAAGTGGAATGAAGGGTAAATATTAAACAAAAGTTGCAAGATTTATATCCGAGTGAATTGTATCAAAATTTCGTCGTTGGAGATTTTGCTTTCGTTGGCTGAAAGTGTGCACAGTTACCACCCCATATGCGTTTACGAGAAGAAATCATTAGATCGTGTATACAAAATCGTGAAAAGGTAGCAATTTTGAAAAATTGTTCGCACACATCGCCGAGCGAACCAGCCATTTCGAGCACGAATGCTTTCGCCCGTTGTTTTACCTCGCCCTCGAAAAGTTTGTCTAAATAACCGTCCGATCTAGAATACGTCTGACTAAACGCGGTGAAGAAATCTTGTAACAGAATCGACGAGCGATTCGCGCGTCCTCCACGGCCGGTTTACCTCTTGCATTTCGAGTGAGATAGGATCGATACGGTATCGTGAGATCTTCAGCACTTTTCATGATAATGAATTTCATCGTCGATACGAGTGGTTTTCGGAAATGTTCGTGATCACGTTCACGGCATAAACTCGTTGCACCCACTGCTCGTGAACACTCGACGATGGCCTGTACTTATCTTGAAACCCTGATGGCCGAGAAAGAGAGCCCGAGAAGCGTTCCCCGATATTTCAAAAGTTTTCTCTGGCCGCCACCCAAGGCTAAAACACTCGAAATAACGCAGTAGCAATTCGTGTGGGCGGTCTGCCGGACGGTCAGCCTGGTCACACTGGTGTCCGGTGGCAGGTGGAGCAGCTTTTGAGGTGGATCCCTCTCTATCTCGGCTAGTCGAACCAGCAGATGTAAAGGTCGCGCGCGCCCCGAGAATTAGGTCTATGGAACTGGGTTAACCAAATCGACTACTATTTTCTGATTTCCCACTGGCCGATACGTATCGCGGACCGCCCTAAGCTCCGCTCGAGAGTTAACACGGCCATTGTATTTTTTTATCGACCTTGTCAGATACGCGGATGCATCGGCTGCGATCGGAAACCTTGGTGCTAGATCCGGGTGAGTCTAGATTCCGTAAAACTTCCAGTACGATCTTATTGAAAAGTGGACTGTGCATCAAGGTATCCTATCTGGCAAGGTAGGGTGGAATTACGAGTAATTTTCAGGTTCGGCAGCTTTAAGCTACCAGCCTTGTTAATTGTCTTTATTGGCAGCTCCCTGTAATGAAAGATACAATGGACAGTTTAAAATTTAAAAAGTACGTGGACGTTGATATTTTTTATTAAAAATAATCCACATTCTGTAATATTTTGGCCTACGTTGCACCCGACCGAATATCAAAATATAATACACTGTAACAATTATTAGAAGACGACGTATAATTTAAGTTACAATTTCTCATTATTAGAATAATTATTAGTACTACTTTTTAAGTACGTAGTTGCATCGAAGATTGCATTCTAGTTGCTCCTGCGACGGTCTCCGAAATAAATTCGAAAAATTTCGAAGTGCCTGGTGCGCGTCGTAAACTCTTGCCTCACATGCCCGCCAAAAATATGCCGAGGAGCAAATGCATTCGGTTGCCTTCACCTATCGGTCCGGCCAGGACGAAGAATCGCCCCGAGGAGTAACCGAATGCACTGCCAGCAACGAAGACGATTGAAAATACCTCGGGGTTTTCGTTTCAGTTTCGAAATCCGTGCCCGAGAATTGTAGTATCCCGCGGCGGGACTAGAGCTAGCTAGCTTCTAGCTGGCTGGCATGGGCATAGGCACCTGTCGCGCGTCGCCGACAGTGGAAATAGCTGTTTGCAATGAGAAGAAACGTGCGCTTGCTACCCACCCGACATCGCGTACGTGGGTGCCTCGAGATTAATCGCTGGTACCGAGTACCGAAACAATCGTAAACGGCTCGCATCCTTGCCGCGATGTCGGCGAATCCTCTCGATCAGTACCTCGCCATCGATTCTAGTTCGGTCATTGGTCGTAGTTTCTCTCAGAAATCTGATTCTCGTTGAAACTGCATCTCGTTTCGTCCGAAACGAGAAGTCGCATTAGCACGACGAAGTCGCATTCGTTGAAATTTTTATGGCCCCTTTTCTCAAGATTTACGGTAACCCGCTGAAATCCAATGCAAAATAGTTCTTCGATTGTCCGAAAAATAGCAGCGCTTAATTCAATCGCGCAAATTTGTGTAATTTTACAGAACTTGTGAATTGCATAAAGTCATCGTGAATTGGATTCCTTCTTGGAACGATCTTGACCGATACTGGTTAAAGTCTTCAATACGTAGTAGACCTGAAAAATAAAAGTCGAGGCTAGGTTGATCGAGAAAAAGAGAGAGAGAAGAGAGGGAGAGGTAGCGGAGCGTTGTAAATTCATAAATTATCGCGAGGAACTTCCTGTAGCGTTACGTAAAAGAAAATAGGTAGCAGGTTTAAAGAGCTCCCACTACAGAGCGGCGGAAGTATGGAAATCACGTTTGTCTGGTAGCGGGGCATAAGAAGTCCCAGCGACTTCTTACTCGAAAGCTCTCTAGGACTATTTTTGTCCATAAGCTGAATAGCGGAAATAGCTTAGCCTAGCCCCTGGCCTAGAGCGTAGGCTTTTGACCGGCCATTTTAACGTCTCTTTCAAGGATATATCGTGACGTCAGGACAGAATTTCTTCGAGAAGAAAAATGTGACTTCACCGAGCGTCGACGTGTAACTTGTCAACCCCTTTTTCTTATCGTGTCGCGTCTCTCGAAACGTCCCGCGTCTACGTTGCCGTCCACGAGTCAACCGATACTTTCCGAAATACGTAAAACCGTCTTATACTTATCAAACTTCCATAAATATTTCGTCATCTTTCTCGGTACCGATAATCTTCGTTGTAAGATAGCAGCACGACCGTTGAAACTTTCTCTTTGTTAATTTCTAAAATAATTATCATTGGCCCTTTAAAAAGGGATGTTGACACACATCGACGATATCATTTATGGTACACCGGATGAGATCGCATTAGCTAATACTAAGATATTCGCCGTACCGGTATCTCGGGCGTCTTCTCCGATTAATCTTTAGGACAACGTAACGCGTACGCGTTTCTATTTCTAAATAACACTTAATCTACCGAAGACCGAAGGTGACGCGCGTTGTTTCGAACAAATAAAAAGATTGAATTTACATTTCGCTATTTCTATTATAACGTATTCTTGTACGATTTCCTGCGAACGATACTTCGTAACGTCAACAGTTTTAAAATAAAAACTGCGATAATCGTAGGCGTAGCTTTAAACAATTATTCGATTAGCAGGAATAATCGATAAAAGGCTAACGAAATCTTTAATTCGTGAAAAATCAAGCGTTTAATAAAGCCGTTCTATACACACACGGTGAATAAGTTTCCTTGCAAGTATGCGAGCCGCGATACGCAATTTTTTCTTCGAAATTGCTGATCGTTCGATGACTTACGAACGATGGCGCGTGTCAGCGATTACGGTAACACAGCTTCGTAGCTCGTACGCGTCCCGATAATCCGCGCACCCTTGACGTCGTCCACGTCCACGTCCACGTCCACGCTCGCCAAGTCCGACCTCGGTGTATCCTTGCGACTATTTTTGCGTTACGCGTTTCGACATGATAGATGGGAGTTTTCTGCGTTTCCTCGACGTCGCGTTGCTCGAAACCTGCCAAAGTTTCTCCCCAGCGGCAGAAAACGTTGAATAATTTAGGACCGCGGACAATACCTGTCGTTTGCTCGCATATCGCACGGGCTCGGACGGTCGCCGCGAGCTTTCGGCCTACCGTGAACGTCTGCCAACAGATTTTGCTCTACATCTCGAAACGATCGCGAGAATTTCGGTCCCGGCTTCTCCGCCGGCGGCTCGGGCCACCCTTCCCGAGCCTGCTCCAACGCGACAGTGAAAACGGCACCGGACAGGCCCGACAAGGGCGAGGGCGAGCCTTCTTCCAGTCGGCACGTGCTCGATTACAGACGGACTCCGCGTCGTAAAAATAGATTTCCTCGCTGCTTTCATCGAGTCGTAAACACGTGTAATGAAAGGCAACAGCAGGCCTTACCGTGACCCTTTTCCTTTTTTTATACAGGATGAGGCGCGCGACTGTAACCACTCCGATAACTCCGTAAGCGACGACTTCGGCAAACTGCGAAAATAGCATAGATACGGATGCGTCGTCGCGGACCGAACACGCAGCGCGAACGAAAACTAATAGATCACCCCCTAGATGCAAGCGATAACGGACGTATTTATAGTAAAGGAGGTTTCTTTCTTCGCCAATTTATTCTTGCCGGCAGATAAGCATTTACAGACCACTGAACGGGTCGAACGGGATTTTCTTGGTGCAGGATCCGGTGTCCTTGAAAGCGTTCCGCTTTAGAGGGAAAAGACTCATAACCCGGAAAAAGGATACACGCGACGGCGCTTGTGCAGAGAGATCCGCGCGTGTTATTTATATTGGATATTCCGCGAGAGTTAACGCTATTTGCACCGTCGTTTTAAGGCTTGCGCGAATCAACGACGAATATCCCGGGCACGGAACGGTTCCGTCTCTAGCTATCGGCATTTATAGTCCGCGCCGAAGCATTTATCGCCGACTACAAACTCCAACGATTGATCGACTTTGTATCGACGTGCAAACAATCGCGTAGCGTTTATTTATAACCCTTCCACGTGTCGTCGGGGATTGAATTAAAACAAACGTACAACAAAGTGCACGGGGAGTCTTGGCAGCGGCCGTTCGCGAGGTTTATCGGCGGCGTTCACGGCGGAATATCGCGGCTGCCGCGAACCCGAGTTTCTGGCACGAATTTCCCTTCGGAACGGTCCACGGTTAAATTGATTCTTCAACTTGATAACCTACTCCAATAAAAGATTCGCCGGCGGCCCGAATTATTCTAAGCCGTTCGATCGCGAATCCCCGTGGCCCGAACGCGACGTCTAAATTTGTGGATGCCGATCTCTCTCGCCGTTCGAAGATTTCTACGATCGCGAGCACGCCTTCGCCGCGACGAAGCATCGACCATCAAGGATGCGAGAGCGAAGACGGTGTCGAGGTACCGGCCCACGAGGTGCCGCGGCGAGCTAAACGGGGTGCACCACCGGCCGGTCCAGAAATTTCCGACCACGCGCGAGCGAATTGGTCCTTGATAGGAAACGGCGGATTCCATGAGCCGAGGGGTTTCGCGTAGCACCGAAATTAGACGTAAGGATCGGCCGGTTGAACGGCGGCCGTGTCGTTAGGGAATCTTGGTGACAGCCGCTATTATCCTCTCGGTGCTCTTGCACTTTGCTGCGGATGCCAACTATCGGCAGCCGCCTATGTAGAGATGTCAGACTATATTTGGGACGTTGAGCTACGGTTACTTCACTGGCCCAGTTGGCCGTTGATCGGACCCCACGTATTTTTAGTTTAGGTCGTAAGCACCTAAGAGCAACTGCATCGCAAATTACTCGAGCGGCGTACGCGCAGGTAATGAACGTGTACAGACCAGGCGGACTGCCGTGTTTATAATTAGACCAATGTTACTCGCACATGATTTTACATAAGTGGCACCGATATTACGGTTAACCCTGAAAATCGGCGCGACAAGGCACGACGCGACGCAACGCGACGCGACGCGACGGCACAACCTGCGCGCGTCCGCAGGCCGATCGTTCTTGATCCGCGGCTGTTAGGCTCGCTTGACAGACGCGTTGACTCTGTATCCCCAGACTTCCTACCGGAAAGAATGTCTCTCTGACGCAAGCCGCTGAGCCAAAGACCCGTTGTTGTTTTACGTATGCACACGTGCACGCTCGTCGGGCGCAGGTGACGAACACGGCCGCGGAACTAGATCTCTTAAATATTTCAGATCAACAGGTAACGCGTCCGCATCGATCGGCCCGAACTTCGGCAGATTATCGTCTCTCGTCTCTAGAAACTCTAGACTTCTTTCGTCGTGGGATCTATCGCCGTCTTGGCGAACGTGCCGCGCGCGTATCCGTCAGCGTGCAACTAAAGACGCTGTCCCTTGTTCCCTACGTCGAAACGTGTTTCGAGTCTTCGATTGAAACGAAAGCGAAAAAAACGCGGCCATCGAGTCGACTTAGCACGTGTCGTTCTGGAGTAACGCGTACGGTAAATTCTCCCTAATTCGCGCTCAGAATTAGAAAAGAAATTCGCGCTCCCTAACGCGCGCGCGCGCGTGCACGTACCCCGGAACACCGTTCTTTGGAGATACGGTCGACGGAAGCGGTTCTGCTTCCTCGTTAAAAAGTGAACGTACCCACGCTCGCATCCGTGTCCCGGTCGTATTTTTAGGAACCGGCAGGATAATACAAAATTAGAGCGGGCGGCCTTTTGTACGAGACGCGTCATTAGTTGTTTGCGGGACTACGGCGCGTGTTACTCCCAATCCACTCGCTGTCCCTGGGAGGCATTATTGTTGCCAGAATCCAGAATAGACGTATCTTGCACGCTCTGCTACACCCCGTAACCCCTATCTGTCATACGGAGTCTCAACTTTGATCCTCCCGATGGCACCCTTAAATCTCTGCGCGGCGGCGTCTTTCGTCGCGAGGATTTCTCTCCGGCCACAGTCGAAAGTCTAATCGTGCTTTGCCATTATTTTTCTCGCGAATATACACGATCCTCGACGGACTTTCCTATCGACGTTCCGATTTGTCCCATTTGATGCACAGCGGCGTAATATTTTAGTCGAGACGTGCCACCTGTCCGGCGCATGCTCGCGACCGAAACCGGTGGTCTTTATCAAATTCGAAGAACAAAAAAAGAAAGAGAAAAAGAAAAAAACGGCTCGTCTTGAAACGCGTTACGTTCTATCGATCACTGGAGATGACGCGCTGTCTCGTCGCGTGTGTTTAACACTTCGTTTATAAAAACGTCCGTAAATAAATGGGATTCGGGTTGCCGTTGCGAGCGGGTCGAGAACTAACGTGCTCGTAGCTCTATTTCGGTGGGGTCTGTCCATTGAAATCAACGTTAACGCGGAATCTAAGTTGCCAGAACACGTGTTCCGCTAAATAGAATAGTATCGTTATAACGCGCAACGAGTAGTCTCGTAAACAAACGGTCGAACGGCGATATTCGCATTGAAATAAATGGTGTAACAGCCCTTTTTTTTATAAACTTCCCGAGATCGATTTACCGTTTCTTTTCTCTCTTTCCGCCGAGGCTCGACGCGCGGTTTAAAAAACACGAGGGCCAAGGAACTATTTTTGCTAATGAATGTACGATGGCCACCGTCGAGCTTCTCGGTGGCTCGAAAATAAAAAAAATACGGTTCGCCTAATGAATACCGGAACGTCGGTACAGTGGCTGTCTTTTACGTAACACTTTATGTTTTACCTAAAAATAACGTGATGCTTTGAACTGCGACTACGAGTTACCGACGAAATAACGACGTCTATTTTCGGTCGTCGTAATGAGAGAATGCTGGTGGATGTTGCCCGAAACCTCTCATGGCAACTTATTAACCGATTCCCGCGACGAGGTTACCGCGACGAAAGCGACGAAAGCTTTCGCTCTCGACGGTGCTCGTCGTACGATCTCGTTGGTTCGGGCTTCTGACACGTGAAGTACTTTATCGAACGGTTATTAGGGACGACAATAGTCTGCGAAGATTATCCGAGCTTTCTAAATTCACCCTTGCTCGACGAGGGTGCGCTCTTAACGCGATAACGTTCTATTTTTCTGAACAAATTCGCGTTGAATTTATGAAAGATCGAATTTGGAGCAAAAATTTTCCACAAAAATCTGTGACCGTGATCGATAATACCATGGAATAATTACGATAGAAATCTGAAATATTTGCGGAAGCGCTCCGATTGCACTTCGATGCTATATTTTACTCGTGTTACTCTCGTTTCCGGTCTAAATGTTTACTAAACGCGACTGTCTATGAATGAGTTTAATGTCATAGATTTTCAGCGATCGATTTTTGATTACCGGTGTTGGAAAACATTCAACGTGAACGTTCATGCGACCTTGTATTAATATATTCAATTTTCTCTTTTTCCTCGCGGTGGAAAAATCGATAAAATTACTTCCGCAGTAAGATTTCTCGTACACGAGACACGCGTAACGATAATGTTGTGTATCGATGTAACGAGATTTCTCGTGCCTGAAACGAGGAGCTAATCGACCAGCTATAGCGAGACTAAGGATAAAACACTCGTTTTCTATATCATTGTACCTTGAATAAGAATGTGGATCGTTTATTTATTCCCACTTCCTCGTTATTAATTGTTTCACAATCATCGCAAATATTTAAGTCTATTTTGAATAATCTAGGATAGCGGAGCGTTTGCTGTGACTTTGGTTTCTTTTCGAGCATAATTTTTATTAATTGGTAATTTATCGAATAAGGCATATTACAATTTTGTATTCAAAAAGAAACAAAATAGAAGAATAAAAGAATATAATACGTCTTATTCGATAAATGCAAAGTTAATTATGTCCGAAAACGAAGCAAAGGCACGGTAACCAGCTCCACCACCCTATCTCAAATTAAATAATCTCTTAAAAAAGAAAAAGTGGTTCATAATGATAACCTTGACAATCTTTGTAGTCAGCAGAGGCCCTTTTAATTACTTCAGTTGTTGTTACAAAGAAAATGGCAAAGGCACGCTCGATACGTAAATTGACCCTAAATGAACGTTCAAATTGTTCGCGAGAAAAATTTCGCGTCCAATCAAAACCGCGTTGTCCGGGGGAGCACTGTACAATCAAACAACCGACGATCCCGTTTCATTTGGCCGACTCAAGGAAACGCGTTTCCCTCGATTCGTTCGACATTGCCGAAAATAGGCTCGCGATCGCACCAAATATTTTCGGCTACCCGGTGCACGTTTATATTTAATTGGCAGCTAATGCATTCGCTTCCGATCGAACCCTTTCAAACGTTACAAAAATTCGGCGGTCTCGGTAAAGCCGTCTCAACGGAAGGCTGTGTCGTTCCCGGGTTACATTAGCCCGATGTAATTAGCACTGAAAACCTACGTAAAGTCAAGAATATGTTTCGAAAAAATTGATAAGTAATAGCTGAGAGTGGTCGTAAATACAGTCTATTGTATAATATTGGAAATAGTCCGTCGGCCGAGGGTAAAATACATTTCGAAGCCGAGAAAGAAACACAGAACGTTGACCGTTCGCATATCTTTCTTCTTCTCGTTTATCCGCCGTCTGTTCCGCGGCCATTCGTTCGCTGGCTGCTCCCTCCTGAGCTTATGTACTTGAAAGTGTTCTAGAAACGCTGTCACGTGGGCGGCTAATGATTCTTTTCTGCACCTATTTATGAGTAATGCTCGTGCTACACTCCAAGTTGAGTCCCGATGCGCGAAAATCGCAGATCAAACTCGGAAGATATTGCGGACGCTTTACGCGTGAACTACGACGATCGACGAAAGTGTAAGCAGCCGACCAGCTACAATCGCAAGCTGTGCCTAGCGAATAAAATACGACTCCATTTACACCGACAGAGTGCAAAATATTTAAAAAAAAAATATCACGCAGTGTTCATAGTGTCGCGTGTCTCGTTAAAAGCGTAAAGAACAGGGGATGATACAAGAATAGAACCATGTATAGTCGCTATCCGTTGATGGTTGTAGAAAACAAGACGATTACCTGTGAAATCCGCCACGTTTCCACGGTCTTTCAATTGCTTGAGCAGTGAAACTCGACATGAAATTATTCGCCGTAGGGGAAAAGAAAGCGATCGTTTCTTCCGTACGACGAACGATCATCGTTACGTGATATTGCTAGGAAATGTGGCATAATTGACTCGATAACAAAAATTAACGAAATGACTCGAATAACTAAAACATAATGTACCGTAATTTCGACGAAGATAACGTTGGGCGTTCTGTATCGACATAAGAGACACCGAGACACATTCGCGAGCAGATAGGGTGATTCTGTTCACGTAGCGAAGTTGAATCCCCTTGATAGAATTCCAAATTGTATCGCTACACGGAGATCAACGGTAAATCCTTCTACGTTTAACGAGATTGACGATACACAAATTCGACCAACAATTGTATCTGCAAAAGTCGTTTGTATCGTTTAAAATAAGTTCCTTTGGCATTAATACAAAGTTGAGTACGTTCAACCAACGTGCGGATAGATTCTTCTAACGACTACTCGTATAGTTTGAATAATAACAGAGATCCTTTCGTGGGAATTCAAAGTTTCGTTAATAACAAATTATGGAGGATGACAGGGAAGCATTTCGAACGAATATTGCGAACGGTATCGAATCGTCGGTTGCTTTTTGGCGAAAAATTAAAACGCGAAACCGCTTACTTTTCAGACATCGTATACTCGAAAATAAATGCATGATCTCGCGGCAGAACGATGTAAAAAAATCTTACACTTGGTAACAAGCGGCGACTTATTTTAAATTTACTACACGTTCGACCACGCGTCACGAAACGAAACTTATGTAACGAGCTGTAGTTTCCCCGAGACGATCAAGGTTCACCACCTCGTGCCCGTCAGTCCGGAGACAATAACAGAACAAAGCGACGAAGCTTAATCGGCGGGTTTGCCTTGTTCGGCTTGATGGTATAAATGATGTGTCCCAACTGGCGAAATAACAAATTTTTCGAACATGTTCGGTCGTCAGGGGTCGCCGCCGATAAATTACCTTTGAGGTTGTACCTGATATCGCACTTGGATCTGCGCCAACCTATTTTCGATCTTAAGAAAAATCTTTGTACCTTGAACGTTTCCAATAAGAACATTGTACCAATCGATACGTCGTCGAACGATCATTATCATCCCCCCGTAAACGAACGGACATCTCCGCTACAAGCAGGCTGACTATTTTGCCGCAACCCCTGGCGAAAAGCGTTCGAATTAAATAAAACTCGAGAATGTTGAAATCAAAATCAAAATTCTTCTTTGATTCGATTCGATTCGATCATCCCCAAGTACTGAGAAAATTTGTTAACAATCTCTGTCACCGACTATACTATTAATAAGCCGCTCTACCATCGGACTATAAGCCTGTCAATAACATCGTTCGACAGCGTGCAACATCAATTTTCAATCGCTTATCGATTTGGGCGTTATCTCGAGCATATCAGAGCAGCTTGGTATCGCGAAAAGAACGGTATTTGCGCGAGTCCCTTGCAGAGAACCCGAAGGTTCGCATGGTGGCCGAAGCGTCGTGGTTTCCGGAAGTCGATCGAAGGGGTAGGACGAAGGCGATGCGCGTGTCGTCGGTTTCTCGCGCGATTGTTATCGGCGCGTCGTCGCGCGTCACGACGCGCCGACGAACAAAGCGAACAGGGTGGTCCCAACGCGTTGTGCCGAATCTCGGCGAGCGTCGGCTCACCGAATTCGAAGGTTAAATCGAAAAAACTGCGACGACAGCCACAGGAGGCTGTGCGGCAGTCGCCGGGACCACTGGCTTCTGGCCAGAGTTTTCCCTCGTTCGGTGTCTCGCCGCCAGGTAGCGACGCCTATGGACTATTTAAAGGAATTTCGGCGACGTTCGTTGCTTCGTTTCGTTCAGCAGCGCAGGCGTTGCCCTTTGAATGTTTGTTGTTTGTTTTCGCCCTCACCCTTCCATGTAAAGAGTAAATAGTAAGCACGCGTTTCGAGCGATGCTCACGGAGGAGTAGCCGATCCGGATAAATCTCTTCTAGACTCAGTTACACAGTGTGACAACAATTTTTTATATATATATATATATATATATATATACATATACATATATAGACATATACATATATTTATATAGTATATACATATATAGCTGCCGTACGAATTCGTACGGTTTGACCAGTGTTCGGGACCGGGACCTACGGTGCCGGTGTTTCTCGACGGAACCGAAGAATCGACGGGCCTCAGGTGAAGAAAGAAGCATTGGTAAGTCCACTTGCTGCGTCAGCACCGGTGACACCGCCGAGTTAGTGTTTTGTGATGGTACATCTCGCCCGACACAGTGTGAACTAATGGGAAAGGATAGACGGATAGAACAGCGGAAAGAAAAGAATTGAAATGGACATGGACACCGGAAAAAAAGTGATGTGTGACAGTAAAAGCTAAAAGGAACACCTAGCTGCATCGTGGACTCTTTGTGTTACGGAATCGTGAAAAGTCCTACGTGTCCAGTGATCTCTCGTACCTTTCCCGTTAATGATCGATTTGACGGAATCGACCGGACACGGGGGTTGACCGTCGTTCGTAGGAACCCGTTTCAATACACGTAGAGTTTGATAAGAGGCAATATCGATCTAAACGCGCGCGAGATGCGTCGAATGGATTCCTATTCTATCGTTCGTAGTTTGCCGCAAAATCGAATTGTAATAGTAACTCGTCGAGAGTTGTAAGGAACGGATACATTTATCGCGGAGCTTAGAAATGTTTTGCCAAGTACGGTAATGTCTCCCTAACTGACGCTCGGATTGCGCGTAGAAAAATGGCCAATTTGGGAAGAGGAGATACGATTACTCGAGCCTCGCAGCTCGTTTTTATAGTTCTTGAGAATTCATAACTATGGAAACGGATCGCAAGGCTCGAATAATCGTATCTCCTCTTCCCGAATTGTCCATTTCCATGAAGAAACTGAGCGTCGATTAGAGAGACATTGCATTGTATTCGTAACAATCGTACGGTTATTGATTGTTTCAAAAATTCTACGTTCCCGGAAGCAACGGGGTAATGATAAGAAAACGCTGTTCAGGATCGCTAATGTTTTCTTAGATTAGCGTAGCATACCCAACTTTCAGCTAGACTAACATAGTGTATTGCTTCATCGTATGTGTCGGTGTGAGGCTCACGTTACATACAAACACGACCTCTACTTGTTTGCCAACAAACGTACTACATTTCCTATCTTTATAGCCCGTCCACCATGTTGCATCTCATCTTCAAATAGAAACCGTTCCGCCGCGCTGCAACGATTGGAATATTATATCACCACCAGTCTGTTACCTAACAATATTTTGGCATTAGCGTTTCGCTCCTTTTAATTTAAAATGACTCATCCCGCTTGCGTCCGTACGAACAAAGTCGTCGCTTGTTCGCCCGTTTCGACGAGCAGCTATTTTAATAAAATAATGGAACCTCGATAAAAAGGTCCTGCGTGCACATGCGAGGAGAACTCGATTCAGGAAAAATCGAGGGAGAGGGGATAAGGTTGCCCGTATGCACGGAGAAAATTGAAATAGCGAAACGCGAAATCTAAAAGTAGACGTCGAGCGCGGNTTTTTTATATATATATATATATATATATATATACATATACATATATAGACATATACATATATTTATATAGTATATACATATATAGCTGCCGTACGAATTCGTACGGTTTGACCAGTGTTCGGGACCGGGACCTACGGTGCCGGTGTTTCTCGACGGAACCGAAGAATCGACGGGCCTCAGGTGAAGAAAGAAGCATTGGTAAGTCCACTTGCTGCGTCAGCACCGGTGACACCGCCGAGTTAGTGTTTTGTGATGGTACATCTCGCCCGACACAGTGTGAACTAATGGGAAAGGATAGACGGATAGAACAGCGGAAAGAAAAGAATTGAAATGGACATGGACACCGGAAAAAAAGTGATGTGTGACAGTAAAAGCTAAAAGGAACACCTAGCTGCATCGTGGACTCTTTGTGTTACGGAATCGTGAAAAGTCCTACGTGTCCAGTGATCTCTCGTACCTTTCCCGTTAATGATCGATTTGACGGAATCGACCGGACACGGGGGTTGACCGTCGTTCGTAGGAACCCGTTTCAATACACGTAGAGTTTGATAAGAGGCAATATCGATCTAAACGCGCGCGAGATGCGTCGAATGGATTCCTATTCTATCGTTCGTAGTTTGCCGCAAAATCGAATTGTAATAGTAACTCGTCGAGAGTTGTAAGGAACGGATACATTTATCGCGGAGCTTAGAAATGTTTTGCCAAGTACGGTAATGTCTCCCTAACTGACGCTCGGATTGCGCGTAGAAAAATGGCCAATTTGGGAAGAGGAGATACGATTACTCGAGCCTCGCAGCTCGTTTTTATAGTTCTTGAGAATTCATAACTATGGAAACGGATCGCAAGGCTCGAATAATCGTATCTCCTCTTCCCGAATTGTCCATTTCCATGAAGAAACTGAGCGTCGATTAGAGAGACATTGCATTGTATTCGTAACAATCGTACGGTTATTGATTGTTTCAAAAATTCTACGTTCCCGGAAGCAACGGGGTAATGATAAGAAAACGCTGTTCAGGATCGCTAATGTTTTCTTAGATTAGCGTAGCATACCCAACTTTCAGCTAGACTAACATAGTGTATTGCTTCATCGTATGTGTCGGTGTGAGGCTCACGTTACATACAAACACGACCTCTACTTGTTTGCCAACAAACGTACTACATTTCCTATCTTTATAGCCCGTCCACCATGTTGCATCTCATCTTCAAATAGAAACCGTTCCGCCGCGCTGCAACGATTGGAATATTATATCACCACCAGTCTGTTACCTAACAATATTTTGGCATTAGCGTTTCGCTCCTTTTAATTTAAAATGACTCATCCCGCTTGCGTCCGTACGAACAAAGTCGTCGCTTGTTCGCCCGTTTCGACGAGCAGCTATTTTAATAAAATAATGGAACCTCGATAAAAAGGTCCTGCGTGCACATGCGAGGAGAACTCGATTCAGGAAAAATCGAGGGAGAGGGGATAAGGTTGCCCGTATGCACGGAGAAAATTGAAATAGCGAAACGCGAAATCTAAAAGTAGACGTCGAGCGCGGGCTAGGATAAATCGTAGAAAAGTGCGTCGGTCGGTGCGTGCAGTTGGTAAAAACGGGGGAGAGAAGTCGGGCTTAGAGATAAGGGAAGGCGATCGAGGGAGAAGCGGGAACGTAGAGCCGGTACAGCCAGTAGCAGCGTGATAGAGTAAAACCGAGAGGGAGGGAGAGAAATCAGAGTGCCTCCTGAACATCTCTGCCAAAATAATTAGGAAGTCGTCGTCAGAGACGTGCTAAAATCGTCCGCTGGGGCACGCGCGATTTGGCCGGCTAGTTGCGTCCCGGGCGTTCGAGCGAGCTGGTCGGCCGGACAGGTTTCGGACCGGTTTCAAAGTGTACCCGCCAGTCCCGCGCGGCCAATCGTCTAGCCGCGGTCGTCTGGCCTTTTAGCGCGTGCCATTATTCGAAGTTTGCCAAACCGAATGTTATGACCGTTTGCGTATTTTCGTTGGTGCAACGAGACAGCCGTCTACATTAGCGTCGAAAGGGTTAGTTTTGCGGGAGTTTTATAATAATTTCTTGTTTGAATGCGCTTTGCGGAAAGGAAAGATCGAACTGGGAAGCGAGGGGGCGGAAAAGAGATAGAGGCCTCGACGAAGATTCGATCGAACGTCGCTTTAGATCCAGGTGTCGCTCTATCGGGATCCAGATTCGAAGACTTTTGCTAGTCGATCGAATTCGGGTTCGAATGAAAAATCTTACCCGAGATTGTCGGACTGTCGGTTGTTCCTCGCTGCGTGGCTGTCACTTGCGACCGATTTTGGTGACCGTAACCCCAATGGACTACTTCACCCTTCCATTGACACTCGAGTTTAGCACCTAACCTTGGCTTCGACGTTTACTATTATACGACCTTTGAACTTGATACGAATTCGAAGTTCGCTGATCGTCGACCTTGAACCTGCAACAATCGATCGGCATTGACACTTTCGATCGTGCGATGAATTTTTTGTGTGCTTACACCGTACTGACACTGTTCCGCGGCTGGATAACACGTAAACGGGTTAAAACTTTGCGCGCTACGACCGAATGTATGTCGTCGAATAGGAAACGAACGTCGTGCAAAATTGTTGCCGCGCGACAACAATTTTGCCGACGTTACCGATTCCATGAACAAAGCGATGTTAAAGATGCTAATCAATAAATGAATTTTTTTAAGCATTTGTCTAGATTCTTATTGAAAGAGCCTATTCATTTAGGCAACGATTATAATAATTGCAGTTCGTATAAATCATATATTCAAATTATGATAATACTTACATGTATACCGAATATATCTATATATATATATATTACACATATATAAATGAAATGTTTTTGAATAATTCGATTTAAAAATTCAATGTTTGTAACATCGAAGAAAACGAGAAACAAAGTAGAATTAGAATCAATCAAAGCCTTCGTTCGTTACGTAACAGTATCGAAAATTTGTCATACAGCTTCCACCCCTGTGATTTCACTTTTACATAACTAATAATCAATTAATTGTTGAACGAATCTACTTTCATTCGATTTACCGAGCCCTTTGATTATACACCCTCGGATACGTATATACTAAACCGATTATCGGTGTCGGAATGTTCACTTTCCTGCCGAAATCCTCGAGATGAAATAATAAGAGTACGAGAGCAACAGTTACATAACGACAATATAGTAATGTCCTTTGAATGTCTTAAAATACGCGCCAAGGAAATAGACTAGCAGAAGACTGAAAATAGCCGAGCGCGTCATACTTTACGAACGCTGTCCAGCCAATGGCGTCGTTCCACATGCTCGATCCGTTCGACTCGCACGCACTTTCCTGCGGCATGGCGCGCCGACCGTGACGCGGGTTTCGCGAAATATTGCAATAACGATCGATTAATTTTTGATCGCGAATAATCCCGTGACACGAATAATGGCCAGGCATCGAGTCGCGAGGAACCGATAGGCCGTTTAGCAATCACGGACGTATATCCGCGTTATTTACGTTTAACAGTGAATCGTAGACGGCGCGGTGGCAACTGCGCTCTGCAACTTGTTAATGGGGCATTCCGCGAGGTGGCGCGCGTGCGCAATGATTTGCCGTTCGCTGCGTCAGTCTCACGGAAGAGGTTTGCTTAGCAGTTAGGGGAAATATATCCGTTAGGAAAATGACGTGCGTCTCGAATTTCTGTGCCCGCGTATCGTGATACGTCGTGTTCCGGCCGCAGGACTATTATTCTTAGCGTCCGGCGAGTTTTTTTCGTGCCAATTCCGTTTCCTCGTTAGTTTTTTTGTGTGTGCTCGAGTGCAACTTAGGGACCTGTAGCTAACCTAAATATTCGGCAACCGTAACGTAATTTTTCTGTGACACGTCGTCGTCGTCATCGAACGCTTCGACACCGTTTCTGGTGAGTTTCGTTCTCCCGTTGAACCTCGTGCCGCCCTGTCCTTGCCCGCACAGAGTCAGAAAAAACGGAATAGCATATCGTGCCACGACGAAGTTATCGCAGTACGAGGAAGTTTTAACCTGTAACGGTCTGCAACGCGAACGCGAGAAGTGCGTACACGCGGTGCATTTGCGTGCTCTATGTCCGCTCCCATTTTTGCCGCGTATTTCAATATTTTCTTTCATCTCCGTTATTTTACGAACGTTTCCATTGTCATTCCCGAATCGGCCTCGCGAAGAGCCTCTCTTTTCTTTCTTATTTACTCATTTTCATGGAGATTAAAATCGGAGTGCACAGAGACACGTTCCTTCCCTTTCAGCTGGGAGTGCCTGTTTTCTAATACTTTTTTGCTGTTTCGATTCTTTTCTACTTCTGCTCTATCACACATCACACTTTTTGCCATTATCAGCCTCGGTTTAGCGTGCGGTGAATCGTGGCTTATAATTATTTAGTTTGAGTCCCGCAGATCATTAAGTTCTTATGCAAGGTATATTCGTATTTCAGAAACTACAGTGTGAATGAACGTGGACAACCATTGAACAGATAAGATTAGTGACATACTAATACAAAAACAACCATGGAGGACGGCCATTGCAAAAGCGTGGAAGAGGTAGTAGGTTACTTCGGCGTCGATCAGGACAAAGGATTGTCTGGTGACCAGGTCAAGAGTAACCAGGAGAAATATGGTCTGAACGGTAAGTAACCGCATCAACAAAAGTACAGTTTCTACCTTACGATACTGCAGGCTTGTGCGTATCGACTTAAGAGAATATAGTCATGAACACGCGTATTTCGCTTGCTCGAATCTATAATTTACAATATTTTTGTCCTGCGTCCCAATGGATGCGATACGTGTTATGATCAGATCGTTGAATTGAGTCGCATAGAGATGTGAGACTACAAATTCTTTTGATTTTAGCGTTAACACGATAATTTTGCGTAATTCCAGTACCACAAACCTTTTGCAGAGGAAATTTGATTTTGCATGAAGGTCCACAGTCTAGTCACGATATATCGGAACTAGTACGCGTTTCCGTTCTGTGTGTACATAATTAAACGTCACGTGATGCGCCGCGCCGCTATCTGATGAGCAAATGTAACATTACGGGGTTCGCGTAACGCAGGAATTATAGCTTTCTACTTCTTCGTGATTGGCAAAGAAGCCGCACACGAACTTCGAACTCCGGTTCCGAGCCAATGCCGTATAATCGAGTCGCTCCTTGCACGCATATCACGAATACATACCTGCGGTACGATCGGCGAAGTTGAGTAGCACGGTAAAAGTGATTTTATCATGCTCCTGATCTAACATTGGTCTGTACACCGCGCCGCACGGTGTTTAACCCCACCAGTGTCGATCCCATTGCCAATCCTCTGGTACACGTGTTCGAAGTTTCCTCAATGGCCCGCATCACTAAAGCACATTTACCAGTCTAGTAGTTTCTCAGAATACTTATATGTACGTCGATATGCGGGTACATTCTCTTTGAATTACAGAACTATCGAAAGTCGTGTCTCGAATCGTCTCAATCGGAGCAGATGAATGAAGAATTTCTCAAATATCCAAGATGGCGTCCCTACTTCGTCCCCCCCCCCTCCTTCCCGAACCGTTTAGATTTCAGATTTTGAAATATTTCGATAGCTAATTACCAAAAATTATGTTATATAAATTAAGTAACTTACAGTAAAATTTTAATGAAATATCGAAAATGTTTCTTCGTGTGTATTCTATTACAGTGTATCGACAAGAAGGATGCTTTAAATATTTGGAAAATATTTTTATTAGGTGTTCTTAAGATCTTTTCAGTGAACTGAATTCTAAATAAAACTTAATGCAAAAAGTACATAATTTAGTCGATTTAATGATACGTTTGAAGATATCTATGATATATGAATATTTGAGAACTATGAAAATCTATGGGAAAATGTGTCGGACACGTTTATAGTTCGAGCGTAGTGTAAAAACATTCTCAATTTAGATTTTAATTACTTGCAGCTATTATATTGACAGTGTTAATGTTTTCTCGTGAAAATTTCCTTGCGTTCAGATCTGAAAGAAAATGCAATGCGTGCAGTTTGTAGAATAAAATTATATAACATCTCTCTCTCTCTCTCTCTCTCTCTCTCTATCTCTATCTCTATCTCTATCTCCCTTTCCCTTCCTCTCTCTCTTTCTCTCTTTCTCTCGAAATCTTGATTTCGTCGGACGATAAATATCGCAAACAAAAACATCCGTCATTAATCGATGTTGATGTTGAACGTTAATATCGGAAGCTTTGAGCTTCCCTTCGATAAAGCTAAGATAAGTCACTGGAGACACATGAGATGTCCGATCAAAAATATCGTTATCGACAGAAGTGTACGATGACCTTGATGATTTTACCTGTAAATTCTGAAGGGGGTCTTCTGGTTTATTGTTAGAGCGTATCTCGGCGGGATGTTTGGGACTGTTTGTTTTCGAAAATGTATGAACGTACATACGTGAATGAAATAGATTTAAATTGTTTGCGTATCACTTTCTTGGAGAGGTGGGCTCAACAATGAAATGTAATAGAAAAACACAGGGGATCATCTGTGCGTCATGATATAATTATACATTGTAATCAGTCCATGGAAGTCGTCGGATCGTGCGATCACTATCTTACTTATCATTCGATTCGTCGAAAGTCTAAAAGGGGGCCCGATAAAATCGTGTGTACTACGTTGGAAACGTAGCGTCAAGCAAAGAGTTCGTAACATGCATAACAAAAACATTCCACTCGTAAGATAAATAAATTCTCGAGAAGAAAATGTTCAGTTTGCGGAACGCATGGCCAAAGAAGCGAAACGTGTTATATCCGATAGCCAATAGAACGAAGGTATTGGTGGAATTCTAGCGGAAAAAGTAATTAAAATATCAATAGAAAATCTCGGATAGAATAAAAAGTACTACGAAAATGCATAAACGCAGAAGTCCAGTAGTATGTTGAGTTAAGTCTTGTAGAGATCGAAATGGCGCGAAAAGAAAGATTCGACAAAAATGTCCCCTTCGAGCCTCTTCAAGATCGCGGAAAGCGTGACGAGAAGGAGGGTAGAAAGCGCAAGGTTGCGTTCGCGTGGCATTCCAAAATAATAAACAGTATTATGTAGTCTGTCAATAATGGCCTTGGATTCCAGTATCGTGGCATGCAGGAACAACTAGTTGGAAAATACGCGTTGCATCGTACCCGGAGAAGCGTCGGGGAAACGTGCGCGGCACGTTGACGTGAAATCAATGAAACGCGTTAATCAAGAAAGCGGGAGTTTAATGTGCTCGCCGCAGCGAGAACGGCTTGAAGTTGATGAAACGATTAATGAAACCTGTTAACGTTTCGCGCATACGACCTACTTAGGAAACCTATCGCTGCTTTTCGTTTGGGCAACGACGGAATTCTACCAATCTACATCTTTAACCCTAGCACCCCTTCGCGGTAGAACCGCGTTCATGCGAACTAAATTTTAGCTGTGCTCGGTAAACTGAACTCTAATCTGAACCGAATCCTCTTATAGCAATTGCCCGTTATCCTGTTGGTAGAACAGAAACTTTTGTTAGATTCGTTTGAAGGAAAAATACACTCTCTTTCGTAGAACTAAAAAGCTCGACGGATGGAATTAAAAAAGGACTTCGTTAGTAAACGCGGAATCTTGTTAAAAACCCGCGTGGAAAATTTGAAGAGACTCGTGGTCGAAGAGAGTTTAAAGAAAAAGAAGAAGAACGCGTTTAAAGTCTCGTGACTTTGGACCGTTGAAAAGCGTTCGAACCCGGTCAGTTGTTCGCGTTTCTGTACGAAACTTGCCCCACAATGTTCCTCGACAGTCGATCCACGAGAATGAAATCGATTTTTCGAAATTTCCAAACGGTTATATTGGCACAGTCATATTCAGCTTCGAACCGTTCTTTGACGCAATCCTGGGACCCGCGAATGAATTCTCAATCATTCATCAAACAAAGTGTTTGATTACGTTCTCGATACACGGCGGACGGTACCGTTATACTGACGAACGTCCGTTTTTTATCAATTTCACAGCACGCGCGCCTAGGCGATTCTGCCAGGCAATCACACGTGGCATCGATAGTTTATTTTCGCAGAGCCGTCGGTCCGAAGGCTTGTAACATCGAATACCAGATACTTTATCGTTCGTAAGAATCGCCGATCCAAATAATCCTCTTGATCTACAGAATCTAAAATGAGCGACACTCCTGCAAGCTCTCGTATCCCGCGAGATCGTTCGTTGCCACGATACTCGTCGAAAATGATCGATCGTATCCGATCGATTCTAGTTATCTCGTCGATCCGCATCGTCCAGCAGAATTTTCCAACGTTGTATTTACCAGTTTGCCTTTGTCGCGTAGACGCCCGTCGACTTGTTTGCCGGTTCAAGCACCGAGAAACCTTCCGTTCCTTGCTTGCTTTTACGATTCTCGCTCTTATCGCGGATCACGGCAATGACAGTGCATCGATTCCCTCTCGTTCTCCATCGAGACGATATTTTATTCGAAGAAACCTTTGCAGCAATTTCCTTCGAGCGAAATTTGTATCGGTAGAATTTTAATATCCGGTTAAAATTATTTCAACTCTGGGACAGCGGATCCGTTTAACGAACAATTCGATATTGTTCTAAAGTATCGAGTTGGGAAGATACTCTAAAAATATTCATCCTAAATGTAAGAAGAACACTCCGGATCTTCGTGCATTTATGTGGTTCGAATGAATTCTTGGAATTCGAATAATATGACCTTTATCGTAATACGAGAAGCTAAACTGATGGAGACGTTCCTCGTAGAAGCTCCCAGAGCAAGCATCTTGCACCATGATGCATCTTTGCAGAGATCTATCAGCATTTCAAGGGTTAACGGTTCGAATCCGCGCGAAGCGGTTAGTTTTCCATCGAGCGTTACGCGTCGCGATTACGTGCTTCGCGAAACAGGCGCTGAGAAGTATCGTCTTTCGTTTACGAAAATAAAATACGCGGGAGAAACAAGTTCGGTTGCATGTACGCCTTCGTGCCCGGACAAGAGCACCTATTTCCGCGGCTCCCATCGCGCTCAACAGCCCTTTCTGATTCGCCTCTGGTCCGAGAAGCGGCCGGACTCGCCGCATTAATCGGTGGTCGGTCGAACGTTCATCATGTTGCTCAAAGGGACGTCTTTTACACAGAGGATCCGCGGCTCAGACAATTTCGGTGTCTAAAATTGGTGTGCAAACGTGTACACGGCATTATTCGCAGTGTCGTTAAATTCATGGTTCGCCGGGTCCTGGTTTCTACAGGTGCTTAAACTCTTTCGAAGCTGATCTCATTTTCCATGCTCTGTCTGCCAGCTATTTATACGTGTTTCCGGAAGATCTTTCGACGCCACAGCGGTCTGCGAAACAATCATTTCTGGCCAAAATTCGATTCTTTCGACTTTCATATTCGAACGAAGTTCTTCTTCTTATGTATCGACGACTCCTTAGAAGCACGAAATCCAGAATATTAACAAGTTGTCCAGTATTCGCTTTTCTATGTATTGGAATTTAAGAACTTTAAAAAAGAAATTTCCTTTTTGTAAATATGCCGACCATCTCGATTTTTTAAATGTTATCGCATACCTTCGAAGTTATAACATTCTAGTCGGTATCGTGGCGAACTCAACGACTTATTATATTGTTACCGAATACCTTGAAACAACGTTAAG